TCCCTGACAGCACAGTAGAGATGCTGGCTTCCTTCTGGAACCAGGGCACTGCCCACAGAATCCTCACCCCTGGCTGAGTCTGGATGTCCAGGGTTCCACACCAACCCTCTTCCTCCTGGAGTTTGGATCTCCCAGACCCATCCTGTCTGGTACAGGAGCTGCTACCTCTGGGGTGGACCACATGCCTGTGGGAGACAGACTTGACCTTGGAGGAGGGCCTGGGCTACGCCCCAGTGCCCAGGACAGAAGCGGGGAAACTGGGATTGGGGCCGCAACACCAACACCGAAGCTGCCCTTGCTCCTCCCCCGGGCTCATTGCACATACCTCCCTCTCCAGGCATCCTAAACTTTGCTTGGGGGAGGGGGCACTTGGAAGGCAGGGTCTCCACCCCCCACCTTTATTCTGTTCTGTTCTCTCGGCTCATGCCTGGAATCTTGCTGGAAGAAGAGCACGCTCTCTCCCTTTCCCACAGCCTGAGCCTTCCAGCTATCAAGTTTGAAAAGAAGCCACTGTGCCTCTAGGGCCTCCTGCATGGAAGAGAGAGGTTCTCTGCTCTGGGAATCTGCTCCAGAGCCTCCCCCACTGCCTGCACTCTCCGTTCCCTTAAATGGACACAGTCAGGGTGGCTGGCACTGCGTGGGGGCCTGGGACAAGCACTGTGTGCCTCCACTCCGTCACCAGGGACAGCCTCAGGGGTGAGGAGTAGGGTGTCGCTCTGCAATTCCCAGGGCCGAATCTTTCCCATCCAAGCAATAACGGGAAGAGGGGGCCAGGGCCAGGGACACTCAGGGACATCATCAGGGGCTGGGGCCCCACATGGTAGTGTTATCTTTAGGAAGGAAAAAAAAAACTGGCTGTAAACATAAATTATATTTCTTGGAGAAAGAATGTGCGTTTCCCACATGCCTGTTTATTTATAAGCCCTGGGAGCACCCGGTCCCATCGCTATGGGGAACCTGCACTTCCCTTGGCACTGCCCTCTGTCCACATGCCCCAGCTCTGTGTCAGGCTGCCCATGGCCAACAGTCGTGTCCTGACTGGGGAACTAGTATCTGTCCTCAGCTACAAATGGCTTTGGCTGCTCGAGGCTAGTCTCCTGTCTCGCTCTCACTTGCTCTGCCTGCCAGGCACCCCTCTCACCCCCTTTTCTGTCCTTTCCAGCTTAATTTGTAGGTTCCTGGCTCTTAATATAATTTGAATCTCCCTCAAGCTGGGCTGACCTTTCTGTCTTCTTTTCACTGGTACACTCCCCACCCCCACCCTCTCGCCATATTTCTATTCTTCCCTCCTTTCATCTCCCTCACCTGGTTTTCCTTTTTTTTTAGTCTCTCCCTCTTTATCTCTTTTTTACTCTGTCATGGTATTACTTTCTCCCCTGGTGGTTCAGGGGAAAAAAATAAAAATTTTAAGAAAAAAATCTAAAGCATCAAGCCTAGAGGCCCATCTCCCATGAGAAGATGGTGCTAGGCCACCATCACCATGGTGACAGGGCTGATGTCATACAAGACCCAAAGGTCAGGTCCAGCCCAGCAGCTCTAGCGGGAGGCTTGGGATGGATCTGGGAGCAGTCGGCTTGCAAGTGAGAGACAAGACCTTGAACAGACAGAAGGAGCTGGTGTGTGGGGAAGATTGGAGGCTGCCTCCTGCTCCAGGAGGACGAGGGGGTCAGGGGCTTGGCTGCAGACCTTATCCCTCCCAGGGTTCCTCAGGTGCCTCTGCTCCCCTTGCTGAAGCTCTGTCAGGACCCACGGGCCTTCTGGGATCTGGGACCTGGGAGGAAGGAATTCAAGATTTTAAGATCACTCAAGATGGGAACGCAGCAGACCAGAGACTGTCCTCTTGCTCTATGACTCCTACTAGGGCACAGAGGAACTAGCCCTGGGTCCAAACTCAGAAGGCGTGGGTTCCAGTCCTAGTTCTGCTTTTGACCAAGTGACCCTGGGCAAGTCATGGTCCCCTCGGCCTCAGTTTCCCCATCTGCACACACAGCTGTTGGGTTTATTTAGATCTGATGCTACAGCTCAGGACGCCATGGAACCTGGTGTTTGTCTTCCTTCCTTTCAAGCATATCTTAGATGTAGGGGAAATAGGGGTTTGGGAAGAGCCACAGTCACCCCAGAATAACTGCTGGCCCCAATAGCCCAGATTTCCTTCCTCTCATTGGTGTATTTCCCTGTACCTCTCCCACTGCTTCTCTTGCCTGAGAACTCTAGGTGGGGCAGAGGCCCCGTGAGTACCCCTGGGCCACTTCCAGGAACAGAGGGCCCTGCCTTGCTGCATTGTCAAACATGGCACCCTTATCCACAGCCACTCACTAGCCAAGCAGGGGCTGCCAAGGCTGAGTTTCTCTCCAGGGAGAGTCAGAGCCCAATTCCTAGCTTTGCTATTTGCTTGCTCTACCACCAGGAACCAGTTCCTCTTGGAAAATTAGTTTGGTTAAAGTGGCTGTTGATTCCTGGCTTGAGAGCACTATTGAGGGTAGTCTTGGTCTCCATATGGAAATGGAGAGACCAGGGTAGGAAGGGGGCCATTGCCAAGGACAGCTGGGCATCATAGATCCCCTCAGTGCTGAAGACAGCACAGTATTGGGAGTCCCAGCTCACCCCTCATCTAACTGCCTGTGACTGCTCACTTGGCCTTGGGGCAGCAGGAAGAAGGGGAAAAGACTTTTGGGGGATATTTTTAACAGTGGTCCTGTCCATAGTGCCCCAGGTTGTCTGGGGCAGTCAGTGGCAGGTGGGCTTTGGGGGAGAATGCTGAGGAAGCCCTGCAAGAACTGTGTTTGTGCCAGGAAGTTCGGCATCAGAGCAGGAGGGCAGGCAGTAGGGACGGTGATGACAAATGAGCAGAGGCAACGGCAGGGCCGCCTATCCCAGTGCTGAATCCACACCCTGGGAGATCCCCTCTGTCCTAAGCTGATGGTCAGATCTCCATGTGTAATGGGTGGGACCTGCTCTTGCCCTCTCCCAGAGCCTCTCCAGAGCCAGACCTGGCCAGCAGAACAGCAGAGACTGGTGTGTGTGTGCATGTGTGCATCCTTTCTTAACTTTGTTACAGTCACCCCCGGCTCCTGACCCACCCTCTGGGGCTTGGGAACTGGAGGCCCTGCCCAGAAGCACCTCCCTGCCTCCAATGCCACTATATTGGCTTGCTCAGCCACCTGCCCCAAAGCTTCCTTAAGACACCTGGGCGCTCTTGTTCTGAGGATGGACGTTTATTAGTACACTTGGGTGTGCCACACAGAACATGTATTCAGACAGGGGTCCCTGCCCAGGGGGGCTTACAATCTAAACAAGACACAACACACACACACATGCACATACACGCAGGACACAGACACTGGGAGCAGGGCATCTTCAAGGGACATGAATAGTCAGGGGAGCCACAGGCTGGGGCATACAGCATGTTCAATCATTGTCTGTTGGGGAGGGAGAGGAGAGCAGGACGTGGCCCAGGATGGCTTTTGGGAAAGCAGTAGGATCCAGGAGGGAATTGCATGAGGCAGAGCACACCAGAGGCCACCAGTCCCAGGCACAGGGAGAGATGGGTAAATCTCTTGGTGAAGGCATGGATGCAGAGAGAGCCAACAAGGTGGAAGAGGGAGAACCAGGCAAAAAGTCCAGGAGGAGCCCCTGGGCAAGGGGCTGCCACATCTGCCAGGCTTGATGTGTGTGTGTGGGGGTCCCTGCTTTCGGGCCTGGCTTTCCAGAGTCATCGTTCCAGAGAGATCCTGAACAGGCCTGGGGTGCTCTTCAAACTACTTACCTGACCTTAGGGCTCCCTCTAATCTCTGGGACAGAGATCAGAAGCCCAAAAGAAAAAAAAATCCACCTTTTAACGAACACTGAAGCGGGGTTGTAAGAAATTCATGGGGCAGAAGGGGACAGGGCAGCATAGGGCAGGCAGCCTTAGGTGGGGGTACCTGGTGCAGGGCAGGGAAGCAGATGCCCACCCCAGGTGCTGGGAAGCAGGGGTGCAATGGCCCCCTTTGCTCTGGCGGGGGGCAAGGGCAGTGGGGGGACACATGGTAACAGAGGTGCGGTTGTTCCTTTTGTGTCTGCGACAAATTAGCACCTTCCTTCTAAAGTACCCTGAGAGCTGCCAGGCCTCAGCTTCCCCCAGGCTGTGTGTAGGGTGGCAAGGAAATGGTTATTGCTCTTTCAAGAACTAAGAACACTGGTCCCAGGAGAAGGACATTACTTGCCCGGGACCACAGTGGCTAGAGAAGGAAGACACCAGGGCCCAGTTTCTTCAGACTGGGATTTGACCATGGCCTCTTTGGAGTTGGAAAGACTTTTCTAATCCTACAGGATTAAATCAGAAAAGGGTGGAGAGAAGCCAAAGATCCGGCCAACAGACCTGGAGCTCTTTCTTTGTCCCCACAAGGACCAGGAAGGAGACACTGCTCTGAAACCACAATGGGCCAGCCAGCAATCAGAGGGAGGTTGGGAAGGTGGAGGATCCCGCTTTGGATTGTCTGACCTGCCTTGGAGGGTTGTGATGGTCCCCTGGGAACCAGGAGGTAATGCTGGGCTGGGTGAACCAGAGGGTCTCAAGGAGACTCCACTCCCGACAAGCCTCACTTCAGGCCTGATCAGGATGGATGTATGGCTGCTCTCCTGATTTCTGGGCAGTTGGTGGGTTCAGATTCTCGATCTGAGCATAGGCTGGAAGCTCAGGGAGAGCCTTATCACCAGTGAACCCAAATCCCAAAGGTGACAAGGGGGAGACTCAGTCCCAGGCTCCCCATCCCCCTCACGCCACTGCCTCTTCCCCTGGGAGGTGAGGTAGGACTGGGGCCCGCAGAGGAAACAGCCGAGGCCCTACTTTTTCACGATCCTTTATTGATCAGAACGGGCCCTGCCACAAAAAGCAGGGCCCATTCCCACAAAAATATGATTTTGCAAAGAGGAAATCTTGCTGGCTTAGAGGGTGCATGTGGTGGAAAAATTTTGTATGGTTCTTTTTTTCCTTTTTTTTTTTGTCCTGTTTTTCTTCATTTCTCTTTGCTGCATTTTTTTTTCTCGTCATAGTGGGTTTCTGCCTATCTGTCTCTCTCTCTTTTTTTTTAATAAAACACTTGCACTCAAGGACTCCAACATAATACAAACAGCGGCCACCAACCCCCACCCCTGGGGCCCCAGCCAGGCTGGGGGCTCTGAAGGCCCCCTTGGCTTTTTTGTGGCTGTTTTCCTTGTCCCTTCCCTGGCGTCTGGCGCCAGTGGGCAGGTGCGGGGTCCTGTGGCAGGTGGAATTTGTACAGCAGTTATGTAGGGAGACGGTCACAAGAAAGGATACCTGAACAAGGTAACAGCTAAGTCTAGGGCGCCCACAAAGACAGCAGATGACGCTCATGAAGGGACCTGGGACACAGTGAAGAAGAGATAGATGGGCCCAGGCCAGCCTCGGCTATCCCTGGAGACTGCGGGGGGGGGGGGGGGGGCAGGCAGGCCTTGCTTTCCGGCTACAGTAATAATACTTTGCTCCCGGGTAGCACCTTCACAGTCCTCCTGCCAAACCCCCAGGTCAGGTGACGGCGGCCTCACAACCTCCCCTATGAGGTAGGTGAAGTATTATTACCATCATTTTACAGATGGGGAAACTGAGGCCCTGGGAGTGTGGGTGATCTGCCCACGGTCCTGGGCGGGTGGCAGGGCTTCCGTGCCCTCCCCCCCATCCTCAAGTTCCCCCATTCCCTGTTCTCCTATAGCTTTAGCCCACCCCCGCCCTCACGGCCTACCGCCCCTCCTGTGCCAGCCCGCTAGCCCTCCGCCCGCTACTGCCTCTCCCTGGCCTCGGGGCATCGCATCTGGACGTTGGGAAGACGCAGGCGGGCAGGGTTCACCTACACGCCTGGGTGGTCAGATTGGGAGCAGGCTCCGCCCCCGAAGGTGCTCTCTGCATACGATTGGCCGAGAGCTGGGGGGGCAGGACTCGGAAAGGAGGGATGCGGTCGCCACCCATTGCAGGTTGGTTGGTTGGTTCAATCCCCGCCCCCCCTCCCGCTCCGCCTGGGGCAGGGGGATACCCGGCGGGGCTGGCGCCACGTGGTGGAGGGACAGAGGGTCTGAGGGGGCGAGGGGGTGACAGATCCCTCGTCTTGCAAGGCTTCCCACAGCCCCCCTCATCACTTGTACACAACGTTCCGAGTGCTGCCCTCCCGTCCCGCTGGGGGCTGGTCGCCAGCCCGCCCAATGACCCTGCAGGTGGTGCAGGCCTTCATCTTCAACAAAGGTACAATACAGAAAAATCGGGATTTACGAGAAATGTGGGTGACTATTTGCTTTACAAGAGCACTCTTCAATCTACAAGACGATTCCCCCCCCTGCTCTGGAGACTCCTCCAGACCCTCTGGGGAGGGGACGCGGGCAGGGGTGGGAGATCCAGTGCAAGCGGCTTGGGCACGGGCAGCTCGAGGGGCAGCCTCCTGAAGGCCAACGGCTCCCAAGTTCCCAGGCTTTGGCGGTGCTCTGCAAGTGGGGCCCTAGCCGGAGTCCCCCCTGGGGCCCGGCCCACCCGGGACGCAGCTGTACGCCCAGGCCGCGGCCGTAGACGTGGTGTCCGGGCGCCACCCGGCGGCCCGTGCCGGAATGTCAGCCCCGTGTGGTATCACTACCAGCCCCCCGCGGGGGGCGGAGCGGGCTCGAGCAGGGATTATCCCGGAATCCGCTGTCTCCAAGGGGAGGCCAGCTCTAGTCTCTTCCGCGGCTGAGGCAGAGAAGCCACAGCTGCTTTGTGCGGGGCAACCTCAGACTTTGCACAATCTGGACTTTCCCCTGCTTCCTTTGCCTGAACTGCGGGGCAGAAGGAGCTGCTCCCAGGAAACGGGAGGGGTGGGGAAAGAAAGCTGGGCTACAGACCCCACCCCCAAATGGAAGGGACGGCGTGTGAGCACAGGGGTGCCAGAGGTCTGCATAGACAGAGAAGCAGCCTCCTGGGAAGCAGGGAGAATGTTGCCAGCTTGGCTGGGATCTGAGATCTGGGAAGGCTGAGGGTGTCTGGATGGACGGGTGTGTTAAGGGAAGAGAGCTAGTGGGGGCTTGGGACCCCTGAGGAGGAAGAGAGGGGGTCCTGGTGGATTGTGATACACCCAGTAGGTGCTGAAGAGATGTGAAATGATGTTCAAGAGATGAAATCAATTGACAAGGCGCTCCTGGAGAACTTGGAGCAGAGAAGGGCATGGGGTGGAGGTGGCAGGAGGCAGCTCCAGGGTTTGCTCCCCTTCCCCACCCCACCTTTCCCCTCTCACCACGCACCCACCTCTCCTTGCCTACCCCCAGCCCTGTGCATTGACCTCTCTTAGCCTCCTGCCCCACCCCACTTTACGAAAGCCTGCACTCTGCACTGCCGACCCCAGGAGGACAGGGAAAGTGTGCCCCCACCCCCATACACACATGTGCACACACATGCACACGCGCGTGCACACACACACACACACACACACACGGTGGACACGACGCCAAGTACACACGTTGCAGCTCCAGGACCCTGGAGCGGGCTATATACTATCCTTGGCATTCAGGGCCCAGCCAGCACCTGAAACTGCCCTGGGATGGGCCTCTCCCATCCATGCTGGGGCCAAACGCCTCAGCCTCCCCTCTCCTGGGCCCACATCGGGAACTAGGGAGAGGGCAGCTTCTCTCCACTCCAGGCGCTGCCTTAAAGAAAACGGGGGACTATGCCCACCTGGCGGGTCTCTGGAGGGATCTGCCCATCTGCCTCTTTGGCCTTCACACTCTCCCCCACTTCTTTAGTATCAGCAAGTTAGGAAGGCAAGGGGCAAAGCAGGAAAATGGCTCCCAGCGCCCCTCCCCCAGAGCTGGACTGGTGGAGGATGAGGCTGGTACTTCCTTGAAATGGGGCCCAACCGACTCCTGGGACCCCTCCCTGGCCAAGCCCTCAGGGTCCTCCCTTCACCTATGGTGGGGGGCCAGGCCAGGCATTGTGCATAAAGTGGTGAGGGCATGATGGGGACCCAGGCCCTCAGCCCCCTGGGCCTCCCTTGGCCCCACTTAGGCCTTGAGCTGGTGCCACTGGGCCACCGGCTGCCGGGGACGGGCAATCATGTCCTTCCAGTGCTTCACCTCCCCGGGCCCGCTCTTCCATGACAGGTAGATCTAGGGAGAAAGGGAAGAGCAGGGTATCAGTGACGATCTCAGAGGCATTGTCCCCCGCCCCCACCAGGGGGTGACATGCCATCTCCTCTGCCTGCATCTTAAGATCAGGATCATGGGGACCAAGGAGCCTCCACCAACAGTGACAACCTACCCTCGGAGGTTCCCTCCTCCTTTCTCCTCACCAGCCTGACCTATTTTCCTTGCTGTGCTTCCCTCTGGGAGCCTGGGCATGCCTGGCCATTTCTCCTTAGATTCCTGACCTGTTTTGAGGTGGGTGTGGAGGCAGTTAATCCCATGCCCTTCCCTGCCCTGTTGGCCACCATCTACCTCTTCTCACTTTCAATTGCACCCACTTCCTCACCACTTAGTGAGGTGAGGGCTTTATATACTTATAAAGGTCAAGGCTTACTGAGGTCGGGGCTTTATATACACAGATCACCGAATCCTTACCTGTGAGGCAGTTGTATTATCCCCATTTTACAGCTGGAGAAATGAAGGTGCAGAGAGTGAACAGACTCACCTACAGTCATGGAATTTATAAGCGGTACCGAGGAATTTACATCTAGGCCTTTCTGGCTCTATACTACAAGTCTGATCCTTCTGGCTTGTTTTAGGAGCTTCTCAGCCTCGTGGAGCTGTGTGCTAGCTGACCCCAGCCTCGTGACTTATAAGCACAGGGCTCCCAAAGCTACCCAGGCCAAAGTGAGAACCAATCCTTCTCCACCTTGGCTCAGTCAGCCGAAGGTAGGACAGTTTCAGAAGGAGCTATAATTGGTATCTCAAGAACCCCCAACACCAAAAGGCTAGGCTTCAAAAGAGCTTCGTGGGGTGCCTGGGTGGCTCAGTGGCTGTGTCTGCCTTTGGCTCAGGTCGTGATCCCGCGGTACTAGAATCGAATCCTGCATCAGGCTCCCTGTATGGAGCCCGCTTCTCCCTCTGCCTGTGTCTCTGCCTTTCTCTCTGTATCTCTCATGAATAAAAAAACAGAATATTTAAAAAAAAAAAAAAAAGAGCTTCAAAGTAGATATGATTACTTGGCCCTTGGCCTGAGCTGGTCAAGGAGGGGGCTTAGTAGGCTGCAGGCTTGCTTGGAACACATGACCCTGTTGGGGTATGGATGATGCTGCCCTGAGGAAGGGTGTTACTAGTGCTACTTGTGACCATAGGTTGGCCATCATATTCCCTAGCCCTTGCTATCCTCTTTGAGGTCAGCTGCTTTCCTGGACCCCAGTAGCTAAGTTCTCTATCTCCATCTGAGAGTTGTCTCCATTTTGGCCCTCTTCCCCTGTGGGGGCCCAGGTCACTCTTTCTTGTTTACCCCATACAGGGCCACGCCCCAGGTAATGTGGATTTTTTCCTCACATGCTCCTGGTGTCCACCCTTCCCCTTCACCTGATCTGCCCTTCCACCTATCCTGATCACTGTTCTGCACTGCTCCTGGCCAAAGCTCTGTGCCCCAATGGGCAAACATGCCCTTAGTAGGAATGCCTCAAAAATTACTTTCATTATAATGGCAGCTCACATATACATGCTTTAAGCGCTGTGCTAAGCACTGATTCCCAAGCCCAAACTCTCGACACTAAACCATAAAAGAACACGGGGACAGACATTTCAAAGTAGAGAAACAGAGGGGTTTATGTCACAGAATCACATCCTGGAAAAGCTCAAGGCCAGATATGGATTTTTTTTTTTTTTTTTTTTTTTTTTTGTGAGTATATGAGGAGAGATCACTTCCTACAAGGAGAACATCCACGGATCTCAGGCAATTGTTACACCACTCTGTGAAGGGCTATAGGGTCAGTACTACTAGCTCCATTTTACAAGTGGAGACTCTGGAGGTCAGGGAGACACATGACTTGCCCAAAGTCACACAGCTATTTAGCAGCAGATGAGGTGAGAACTGAAGCCTGGTCTTTGGAGCCTGACTGCAGCTCTCGACTCTGCTCCACATAGCTCACCCTCTGAAGCTGGGACATGGGTAACACTGCTCTGTGGTCCTTATCCTGCCTGAGGGTCCTGTCCAGAACACTCCTTTTGCAGGGATCCAGGGCACTTCTTTCTCCCACTTCCTCCTTTCCATGCCCTTCCAATGATCTGTCCTGTGCTGACCAACCCACAGTCAGACACTTGGGGAAGGTTTTGTCCTGTCCCCTCATTTTTGGATGAAATGGAGGCCCAGAGAGGGGAAGGGACTGGTACTTACCTCTCCCACTGCCTATCCCCGAGCTCACCTGCTACCCCTGCTGCTCCTTGTGAGGACAGGTGTGTCGCCCCACCCTCCAGGCCCCTACCTTGCCAATAACGTCATTGCGGCTAAGCTTGTCCTTGTCCATGACGGTGATGATTATGGTCGTCTCCCTCAGCTTCTCTGTGGGTATATCGAAGGCAAAAGACTCGTTGAAGATGGGGTTCAGGTTCCTCTTCATTGTCACCGTCTTCTTCTTCTCCACCCGCTTGTCCTTGTACATCAGCCACACCTTCACGTAGGGGTCTGGGGGATAGGCAGGAGACAGGTCAGAGGGACAGTGAGGGGGCTCCCCAGGAGAGGCTGCTGGGGCAGGAGGGACTGTGTGCTTTCCCTGGAGGGTGAGGAAAGCCCCAAGCAGCAAGGAGAGGCATCTGAGGGACCAGTGCATAGATCAACTGGAAGCAAGCTTGGCCATCACCCAGGTGCCCTACTGTGGACACAAACAAGGACACAGAGCCCCACAGAGGCCTGATCTGGCCCAAGGTCATGGATGAGAAGTGTCCAGGCTGGCGCTGGAGCCCAGGTCTCTCCTTCTCCTTGATTCTGGTCAGGACAGAGTCCAAGATGATACAGACCCTAAGGGTTCTCCCATGGGGGCCACCTAGGACTCTAGGGTAGAGGAGCTGAGCCCAGAGGTGGGGTGAGAGGGCTGGGGTGAGTGCCACAGCTCAGACCCTGCTCCCTACATCCAGCATGAGCCTTGTGTTCCCACAATCTCCCCGGTCCATCCACCCTCTGTGTTGAGAGGCCTCAGCACCTGATGTGCCCCCGATGTCCATGGCTTTGAGGTTCCGGGCTTTGATGATGTTCACGATGATGGAGTTGGCAGAGGGGTTGTAGCAGAGAGACAAGAGCAGCTCCCCTCGGCTCCCCTGTGGGGGACAAGGTTGGGGGTGAGCCTGGGCCATGGGGAGAGGTGCTCCCCCCTCTTGCCTTGGCTCCCCACGGGAGCCGTGTGGGGACTAGGGGAGGGAGGTCAGTTAGAGAACTCTGTGACTGGCCCCACTGCCCCAGGGCCTTCCCTGCTGTGGCCTGGCAGCTCACCCACCCCCATCTGTCACTTCCATCACACCTGGTGTCCCCTCATCTAGCAGCTTTGTGCACCCTCCCATGGGGTCCCTGCTCCCTGAACAGAGTGCCAGGTCCTTCTCACAGCTCAGGCTATTCTCCCCAGGTGCCAGCACCCAGTGCTGAGACCAAGGCTACAGGTGGACTAGGACCAGATCTGCCAGCCCCAACCCACCAGCCCCCACACCAGGGGCCCGCAAGAAGGGCCTTACACTCCCATCGCTGCATGGCTTCAGATCCTTCCAGAAGGTCTGCATCTGGGTCAGGTCCACCTTGTTGAGAGGGATGGACACCTCCCCAATGGGGTCATTGCGGCTGAACCGGTCATAGTCCAGGACCTGGAGGTAGAGGACCCTCTGCACCACCTTCTCGTAGGGGAAACCTGGGAGACAGACAGCATGGATGAAGAGGGGACAGAGGGGCCACATGGGGCCCAAGCAGGTCCATGCTCCAGGGCAGGAAGTCCCTGAGACCGAGAGGGCTGGCCCTGTGCCTGCCTGTCGTCCCCTCACCGAGGCACAGCACACGATTGTTGAATTCAGACCTTCCTGAAGCGTCAGCAAGAACTGTCACTGTCCCATTTGTCCCTCTTAACAATTCTCCAGGTGGACAGCACCTTGTACATTTTACAGGTGAGGAGACGGCACCTCAGGTGGCTTACATTACTGGCCAGAAATCTCCTGGCTAATAAAGAGAAGACCAGGGACTGGTTATGCACTCGTTAGTCACATGTCTGTCTTGGTGGCCAGGGCAGTGGCCCCTCTCTCCCTGGGCAGCCCTGCCACTGCCACTCATCCAGGGACAAGCCTGGGCAAGTGGCCCTGTCTGAGATGGCCACGACTGCCAGAAAGCAAGCCCTAGGAGGACTCAGGCGGAGGCAAGTGGACGTAGGTCCCGAGATTCCACGCTTCCCCTTCTAGTACATTAGCCTGTCCTTCATCGTTCCTCAACAAATCCTGAAGCTGCCCCCTTCTCCACTACCACCCCCTCATCTAAGCTGCTGGAGCATTTTGCCTAGATAGTCACAAGAGTTTCCAAACCACCCTCCCTGCCTGCGCACTTTCTCCTACCATCCATTGTCAACATAGCAGAGCAATCCCTTAAAAATAGAAATCCCATCACGACATTCTCCCACTTAAAGCCTTTCGGTGGCTCCCAGGGCACTTAGAGTAAAAGCCATGTGCCCTGCTTTGGCTCCGAGTCCTTCTGTACAACCTGGCTTGACATACTTTCCTGCCCCTCCCATGAGCACTCTTGGCTCAACGGTGGACTCCGGCCACACCGGCTTCCTTACCAGCTTTCAAGCACCAGCTCCTGTCTGGAGGTCCCTCCACCACCTGCCCTGGCCTAAACAGGTCTCAGCTTTCCTTCCTGATGTCCCAAATGGCATCAGGTCCCCTGTTCTCGATTCCAGCACTTTCTTTTCACATCCCACACTGTGGGCTGTAATACAGACTCATCTGTTTCCTTGAATCTGATTCCCACCAGGCTAGGATTTCCAGGAAGGCATCTCTGTCCTTAGCCACAGGATCCTAGTGTCCAACACTGTTTCTGGCACGTAGTAGGCACTCGATAAATATTTGTTTAAATGAATCAATACTTGAAAGGATAAATAAATAGCAGCCAAATGGCCTGATGGAGCAGCAGGAGTGTGGGGGTGAGGAGGCCACGCAGGCAGCCAGGGGAGGGAGGCTGAGGAAGGGATGAAGCCAGAGTCATCAGGCCTGGGGAGGCTTGGTCAGGGGAGGGGCCAGCCTGGGCAATGCAGGGGGTGCAGGTCAGCCTAGAGACCTGAGGTGGTGAGATCCTGAACCATGGTGTGAGCAAGAAGAGAGGATACCTGACACCTTAGCCCAGCTGGTGGAGAAGATGGAGGGAGAGGAAGAGCTCTGGAGGGTTCTAGCACTTCCAGCCAGATGTTAGAAGCAGAACTGTCTCTGATAGGAACTGGTGTGCTGGAAGAGGAAGTCCTATGTTTCCTAGCCCCTGAATTCCTTCAGGTTTTCCTCCTCGTACTGAAGGGGACTACATCTGGCTCATCTTGGATTCCCCTGGGGACCTGCTCAGGTGACCTTTAGCATCGATTCAGGTGAAACGGTTCTAGAAATGTTAGAGGCTCCAAGAGGTCCCCACACCTGAGTCAGCTCTCTTCAACAGCAGAGGAATCTCTTATTTGGCAAATGCCATCAGAACCCATCCTGAATGGCCCCTATTCTGGGAAATGTTTTCCAGCACCATCAAGGGGAGCGTCTAGTAGATGGCCCACAGCATCGGCCATGCAACGTATGGCTCAATTATCTACACACCTATGTCCTCCATTAGATCAGGAACACCCTGAAGGACAAATGGCTCTTGTTCTCTTTTGCACCTCCAGTACCCAGGATAGTGCCCAGCCCGTCGTTGGTGCTAGATAAATGTCTGCAGAAGAGACCAGGGAATCGAAGTTCTGCCTGTAAATCTCACCCCACCAGCTGGCCTCATTCATCCATTTCCAGACAGCTGAGCCTTTCACTGATTTGTCTCATCTCTAATCTGGCCCCCACACTGACTTGGGGAAGACAAGGGTCTGCAAACACACAAGCACCCACTAGCTCACCCTCAATGATTCAGCTGAGGTGAGCTGGTTGTCATCTTGCAGAAGGGGTGAGGTGCCAAGTGGTTGGGACACCAGGTGGGGAAGATTCCCTGGGACGCACACTGAAAATTTTAGAGGGCCGAGGGGCACCTAGCAGTTGGAGTGGTAGGGTTTATTCTCATTGGCTGACCGTGTCTCAAAAGGATAACAGCTTCTCTAAGTGGAGTCCAGGCACCAAAAAGGCCTGGAACAGAAATCACTCCCTGAACACAGCCCAGCTTCCTGGTTACCTTGGATCCTCAGAGATAAGAGATAAAGGTGGCCTTCAGAAGGGGTGCAGGAGAGAGGAAGGACATTTGTCTCAGTGGCCTCTAGGAGCCAGATACATGTTCAGAGCTGTTATTCCTGTGTGTCTGGATGTGGGCGGGGAGAGCAGTATGCAGTGTAGGGTGGGGAGGGCTCGGAGCAGGGGAACAGACAGTTTCTTTAACAAACTAGTGTAAAGGGTTTTCCAGGTATTATAAGTCCTTTCATAATTTCCTGATTTGTTTCATCCTTGCTATTGCTATCTTTGCTTTTTTAAAAAAATATTTTATTTATTTATTCATGAGAGACACAGAGAGAGAGAGGCAGAGACACAGGTAGAGGGAGAAGCAGGCTTCCTATGGGGAACCCAATGCAGGACTCAATCCCAGGACCTCGGGATCACGCCCTGAGCAGAAGGCAGACACTACATCACTGAGCCACCCAGGTGTCCCTCTATCTTTGTTTTATAGATGAAGAGAGCACAGCACAGAGAAGTTCGGGAACTTGCCCTGGTCACACAGCCAAGAAATAAGTGGCAGAGCTGTGTTTCAAACAGACAGCCTGGGCCATAGCCCATGTCTCAGCCACTACACTATGCTCCTGGTTCTCCACTTGTGGGTCCTGAGGACCACTCCCTTCCTGCCTGCCCTCCTCAGGATGAGTTCCATGTCTGGGCAGGAACCCCAGATAGTGGCCTAGCTGTGCTCCTCAGCCTCTGGCTGTCATACCTGATCCCAGCTACACATAAAATGCATCAGGTTGGGCAGCCTGGGTGGCTCAGGGGTTTAGTGCCACCTTCAGCCCAGGGCCTGATTCTGGAGACCCGGGATCTAGTCCCACGTCAGGCTCCCTGCATGGAGCCTGCTTCTCCCTCTGCCTGTGTCTCTACCTCTCTTTGTTTCTCATTAATAAATAAATAAAATCTTTAAAAATAAATAAAATAACGGGGATGATGAATTCCTTAAAAAAAAAAGTGCATCAGGTTAACTGGGCTGAGACACGTGCCTGTGTGGGTGAGTACCAGCAGGCCTGTGTGTGGGTCCATGTGTGCTTCCAGGAGCGCATTGGTGTATGTGCCTCTGGACAGGGCCTGGTGCAGGGGAAGAGGGGACTTTGGGTGGGGGCGGGGCAGCAGCAGCCTCACCTTCAAAGAGGAAAGTCTCATTCCAGTGGGGGTTCAGGTTCTTCCGCTTCACCTTGGTCTCCAGCTTGTGCTTCTTGTCTGGCAGAAGGTAGATCTTGACAAAGGGGTCGCTGGTGCCACTGAAGTCCTTGGCTGGCAGCTCCTGGGCCTTCATGATCTTCACGGTGAGGGTGGACTCTTGGAAGTTGTAGCCGACACTGAACTGGATCCTGCCCAGGTTCTCCCGGCTGCAGCCCTCGTGGGCCTCATCTTCTTCAGAGCCTGGGGAGAGCTGGGGGTGGGGGGAGAGGGCAGCAGGGTTGGGGAGGATTCTGCTTCCCCCAGGCCCCCACCACAGCCCAACCACACTGAGGAAGCCTCCCTGTGCTTGGAGCCAAGTCCTGCTGCTAGGGGCTTGCTCTCCCTCTGCTCACAATGTGGGGCTGGTGGTGGCCCATCTCTGTCATATTCACATCTGGGCGAGGGTGGTCAGGTCACACAGGAGGGGCAGAGCCAGAACAGCCCCTGTCCCCCTACCAGGAACCTGAGAGCAGTGTGCACCCCCCTCCCCAGCCTCCCCTAGAAGCTCTGGATCGGCCCACTGGCCCTGACCCATGACCCAAGCTCCAGCACGCTCAGGTTTTGGCTCCCCACTCTCCTCCCCAACCCCACCCACACAGCTGCCTTGGTGTCCCCTGGGTCCCGAGCTCCCCTCCTGCTCTCCACCCTTCACAGCCAAGCCAGGGCCCACTGTGAAATGCACCAGCACAGAACCTGGGCTACAGAACAGATGAGGGAGGTTGTTCACATCTCAAAAGAGTTTACCGAGATACTTCTTTGGAAAGTGACTCTCCAGGGTTCCAAGGATGATGTGATTTACAAAATGAGAAAGGCGAGTTTTCAGGAGCAACGTCTAATTTGTGTGAGGCATAAATTCTCCTAGGAGTGCTAAAAGTACAGGTGTCCAGGCCCTGTCCTCAGAGAGCCTGATTTGTTGGGGCTGGAGAGGGCTAGGCCAGCACAGTGGTTTACAGAGCATCTCAGCTCACTCCTAGGAGGCACCGGGGGCTGAGGGCCATGAGGAGGAAGGGATCTACCCGCATTCAGTCCCCACCCCCCAGGGGCAGGCTCTTGGGCCAGCCCAGCAAGGGACAGGACAATAGGACATCAGCGAGGAGGGAGGCAGGGTCATCACCTTCCCAAGCCAATGATGAAACTCTAGAGGGAGTTAATTTGGGGGAGGGTCTCCCAGCCACATCTCAGCAGTGGCTGCTCAAGGGAATACCTGCAGAAGTCTCCCAGCAGCCCAGGTCCCATCCCAGAACCATGGGTCCAAGTGGCCCAGGCATCTCTCTCTCTGAAAGCTCCCCAGGTGACTGGATGGGAACCAGAGTTGGAACTCATGGTACCACATTTAGTAGGAAACTGCTGGCCCATTTTCCCTCCCCTCTTTCCCTACAGGAGCCTTCCCTGTGCCTCCTTCGTCCTAGGGAGCAGCCCCAGGCTCTGAAATACTAAATAATACAGATAATAAGAATAGACATAGTGTGCACCTACCATGGCGGAAGACTCTTACATCACCTTCTTACTGAATCCTGACAACAAGCAGGGCGAGGCGGTTATCACCACTCCCTAGCTGAGGAGACCATCTCAGAGAGGTTAAGTCACACAGCCAAGATTGCACAGCATAATGGACCCTCTCTGACCTGAAAGCCCACTTTCTACCACAGAAGACTCATGCCCCAGGGCAATTTGGAGATTCCTCCGCCCCCCCCCCCACCTCAAGACAGGGAGAACTCACCTGCCCCAGGTGAGAAGATTCAAATCATGCTAAGAACAGCAATGACCATGTCTGGCCTCAACCTGTGCCCTGTGTTTTGCACTCATTTACTACCTCTCTGCCATCTGCGTGAGGCAGGCACTAGCCCATACCAGCTGGGTTTTGAGCACACAGAGGTGATTCACTTGCCTCAAGTCACCCATGAGTGTACAATAAGTTGAAACTCAAAGCCAGGTCAGTGCCCAGCCATCACGGGTGCCCTTCCAGCTCCCCTCACTCTGACACTGAAATCAGCAACTGGGGCTTCATCAGCCACATGCTGGTCCTGCCTGGAGCTGGAAGGAGGGCTGAGCAGCCTCCCCTGCTCTTCCTCACAGAAGAGGATCCCTCCAGCTCCTACCCAGTTGCCAGATCCAGGCAACCCTGCAGGCTCCCCTCCTGACCCACAGAAAATGTGGCTTCCCTCCCCAGGTACAGTATCCCCCACCCCACCGCCACCCCGTGCTCCTGCCTGCTGTTGGAACCCGCCTCACTCCCTGTGCATCTCAGATTCTGCACCTGCAGAATGGGACCATAATATACATCTTGTGGGGTTCCTAGGACGATTAAGTGGGCTCACATCCTGCTCTGTGGTCTGGCCCCTGCCACTGCTGGCTCCGGAACCCGGAGCCTGGGGCATGCCTGAGTAGGCAGTGGCAGCAAAGACCACTTGCCCCTCCTTTTCCTTGTATAGTTTGGGTGGAGTCCCTGGTGACTGAAGCCCAGGTGACCCCAGCCCCATCTGAGGTCCCTTTGGTCACTTGGCTCTCGGTTCCCAAACAGGGTAGTCTGCGGGGTGGGAGCCCCAAGCTGGGCCTGGCTCTGTACCTCTTCCTAGCTTTCCCAAACCATAGTCCCAAGTCCTAATTAAGGAGCTGGGGCAGCTTGAGGAGCTGTTTCCATGGCAACCAGATGGTCATCCCTACAGCCACCCCTACCGGGGCCCCAGGGGAGGTGTCACCTGAGCCCCTGATCCAGTAGAAGCAAGCATCCAAAAGCATGCCAGGGCTGGGGTGACCAGATAAGGGTGAAACTTGGCCTCCTCTCTTGATCCCGTTCCCTCAGTCCCTTCTTCTGGACAGCTATGGTGGGGTGCCTGGCTCCTGACCCCCAGCTTCTGATGGCCTCATCACTATGAATGACAATGACCCAACTCTGGTCTAGGGCTGGGCAATGAGACCTCACCTGCCCATCTCTGAGCATCTGCTGAGCCCTGAGCCCACAAGTGGGCCCTGGGGCCTACGTTCCCTTCCTCTGTCTGAGGCTGTCAGTTCCTCCCTGGGGGCAGTGCAGCAGCCAAGCTGACTGGGAGTGGGCTGTTCCTGTCTGGAACCCAACCACTGGGAAGCTGTAAACAATTAAAAGGATGGGCAGGGAGGCAGCATAGGCTGTGGCATGGCCCATCCAGAGGACAGTATGGCAGGGCCCACCTCCCAGAGGACAGAAGAGGGCCAGGTTCATGGGGCCTATGGTGGGCCTGGTGGGTGAGGCCCAAGGGAGACCAGATCTGGAACAGGGAGAATCTGATGCCCTAATCTGGATCCGAGAGAGATGCATATCCTAGGGCCCACTCAGTCCTGCTGACTGGGAATCTGCATTTTTAAAAAAGTTTTATGTATCCAAGTCATCTCTACACTCAGCATGGGGCTCGAACTCATGATCCCAAAATCTGGAGCTGCAGGCTCTTCCAGCTGAAACAGCCAGGCACCCCATGGGAATCTACATTTTAACAACCTCCCAGCGATTTGTGTGCTTACTACAATTTGAAAAGTGCTGGCTAGAAAGGGGCAGTGGGGGTGATGGTTGGGGCTGGCTGGAACCCTAAACGGCAGAAGGGTAGGGCCTAGGGCTCTGGGGCCCCAAGGAGCATGGCAGCTGCAGTGCCAGGGTCTGAGCAAGGGAACCCTGGACTGGCAAGGGCTTGAGAGCCCACAAACTTGCTTCCCTCTCTCTACAGGAGGGATTGGGGAGGGGACTTGGGTCAGGAAGCAGAAATGACTTGTCCCAGGTTATGTCCAGTAAGAACACAGCAGGCACCAGGTTCTCAAGCTCATGCCCTAACCCTCCTTGGGACTTCTGAGCTGGCAAACCTTTGACTACACCCTACAAACCTCCAGCTGCCCCATCACAATGTCTCCATCTTGGGGCCCTGGCCCTCCTTGGGCTCTTTGGCCAGCACAGGTGAGGCAAATGGCTGGGACTCATGGCTGCCACCAGAGGGTGCAATGCGAAGCCTCAACCTCTGCTTTGGTGAAAACACCCCAGAACTGTAGGGCTGGGAGACTGGGGGTGGGGGAGTGGGGTGTGCACAGAAGACGCTCAGCACTGTGGTTCCCCACTCTCCCCAACCCCGCCAGGAATCAGGACCTGGGGGGTTCCTACTCTCCTGTTATTTTTGGGCCCCGCTGGACCCCAGCAACGGGAGTTGAGGGAGGTCCCTGGAGGGAGCTCTGAGACCCGCTCCACTGGGAGCTCCACCTCTGATCTCCACTCAGGGGGAAACCACTCCAAGAGAGGGGACACACTCAGCCCCAAGCCTTTCCTCCTATGTTCATAAAAATACCTTCTACGAATCGGTTTTCTTGGATCCCCAACTCAAAGACCCAGAAAGAAACTGGAGGAAGTTGGGCATTCTTCTTCTCACTTAACAAATGAGGAAACTGAGGCACAGAGAGCCTGTTCTGGGGGAAAGGCTGAGAAAAGAACCCAAGCCTTGCTTGCTCAGTCACCATGCTGGTTCCCTTTCCTGAGCAGGCAACTCGCATGCTGTCACCAATTTTCACACACGCCCCTCCCCGGCCCCAGCCTCCCAGTCCAGCTCCTGCCTGGTGCCCCGGCATCCTGCCCTTCTCACCATGAGCATCTCACTGGTGAGGGAGTTGACAAGATCCGAGACGGAGGAGCGTGGCTCGGTCCGGCGGTCAGACTCATCATGGGGTGTCTGGCCTGGCACTGGAGCTGTGTTCACTGCTTTCCCTCCTGCAGGTAACCTGGAGGTGGGGGGAATCTGAATGAGCACAGGTCGGCGGGTGGGCTGGGTTAGGCACCTTTGCCGGGGTGGCGGTAGCACCTCATCTGAGACCCAAGCAGCCACCATCTCCTTCCTGCAGGCCAGCAGGAGCTATGCTCTCGTCCACAGGGAAGCCTGATTTTCCCCTAAACCAGCGCTCAGGGCCCATCTGCCTCACCTGAGCATGATGCAGCTAGACTGCCCCTGTGAGTGCCGTTCTGGTGGGTATTCCCACTGTTCCGGTTCCCCAGAAAATCCCCCACCATCCAGTCACTGCCTGAATGGTGGTCTCTGAGCATGGCCCCCTTCCCAGAGGCCCCCTGCCATCCCTGCTTGCTCCAACCTGGCAGGGGAGGCACCCAAGGTGGCATGTCCAGGTCACCCCCTGCGTCATGACCCTCTGCAAACACACCCAGAGTGCTATCTCCCAGAGGCCCCACCTGTGTTTGTTCAGGCTGAGAACACATGCCCTTCAGACACGAGACAGACTAGGTAAGGTCAGGACCACTGTCCACACACTGGCCAGTGGAACTTTCTACAATGACAGCAGGGTTCTATTATCTGCACTGTTCATACGTGGCTACTGAGCATTTGAAGTGGCCAGTGCGACTAAGAATAGAATTTTTTAGTTTTGTTCAACCAAAACTAATTCAAACAGCCACCTGTTGGGTAGGGTGAACCTACACCCTCTTGCTCCCCAGTCCCCACTGGCCTCCTGCTCTGAGGACTATGTGTGGGAGAGATGGGGCACCACTGAGAAGCCCTGTATCTGCCATTCCATGCGAGGCCTGTGTGCACCCCGACTCCATACTGCTCTCGGGAAGCTGGGCTCTCTGGCCCAGCAGCTGGGTGATGAGCCCAGGCTCTGTCCAGCCGAGGCTCAGAAAGGGGGCACTAAAAACCTGCTCAGGGACCAGGCTGGAACATCTCATGAGAAGGAAAGGTGGGGCAGGCAGCAAGGAAAATATGGGAAGACTGGCAGCACGGGGCTCAGGACAAGCTACCATAGAACAGCTCTGAGAGTACCAGAGCCACAGACTCGGAGACACACACAGGCTGGACAACACCCTTGGTATGGACAGGCTGCTGGCACACAGTTGACCACGACAAGCAGACAGACATGCACAGAATATGCCAGGCCCTGGAGGGGAGATACCAAGACCCAACAGCAAGGTGTGCACAGCATGCCCGTGCATGCGTGCGCACTGACGCACAGACACACACACACACACACACACACACACACACAGTGCACACAAGCCCGACAGACACCCAAGGGACTGGGGAGAAAATGGCAACAAGGCAGGTCGACCAGAGCAGTGAAATGACACACACACACACAGCGATGCGCACACTCAGATCCTGGGGGGAAACATCCAGGGAGACTCAGTCATGCCGCGGTGTGCGTGTGAGTCAGGACAGACTGAATCAGGCTGAGCAGCAAGCAGTTTCAGGGACACACGGCCTCAAAATTGGACACACACAGGCACCTGCCATAACTCGGCTCTGCCTTGACAGCACAAGACACTCCGCCCGCCTGGGGCCAGCAGGGGGTCCCCTCCAGGAGGTGAGGCCATGGCAACACACGCACACACACAGGGACACACACGCGGACACGTGCTTACGCAGACAGGCACGGGGAGGAAGAGGACACTGAAATAGCTAGAGAGGTAAAGTCAGGTTAAAAATAGAGTGGGACAGGAGGAGAGCGCCAGATTGACTGCTGAAGGTATGAGAAAGTTGGTTATTTTGGCCACACCACAGCATCAGCACAGCTGTAAAGCAGCCTGGGAAGATGGTCAGCGCCACTGAAGCTACTGGAGGTCACAGGACAGAGAGGGACAGAGAGACAAGTGCACAGAGAGGCAGAGGGAGAGGCGAAGGAGACTGTCGCTGGCCCAGGGACATCCCTGTGAGGAGCAGATGGGAAGAAGGAGAGGGGGAGAGAGGCCAAGAAAGGTTAGTCGGAGGCCAGTGAAGAAGGCTGCAGGGTGGACACGGAGACGAGCGAGGCGGCCGAGAGGAGAGGCAGAGAGGAGGAGGGAACACACACCAGGACAGAGGAAACATGGTGGCTTGGGGGTGCGGAGAGTAATGGGGGGCCAGGTCCCTGCCCTGCCCTGCGCCCCACTTGAGTGGGGGTGGGGCCACGGTGAAAACCATTCGGATCCCAAGGAGCCACGGAAGGGATGGCAGAGAGCATGACATGGGGATGGAGGCAGCGCAGGATGGGTGAAGGCAGCAGGGCACGGGAGCCAGGGTTGGTTCTGGCCTCCTTCCTTCCTCCCTCCCTCCCTCTCCAGTGCAAATGCATTCTGATCTTGGGGCCCACTGAGGCTCAGAGACTGGGAGATCCGGGATGGGGGGCTTCCAGGCCACCAAGGATCCTGGGAGCAAGGCAGTAACCAACCTTCCCATCTCCATGATGCTTGCTAGATGCACCCCCTCACTTATCTGGGAATTGGAATGGCTGCTCCTCCTTCTGGGGCCTTCCTGTCATCCAGGGATCTGCTGCTGACAGACCTCCCCAGGATAGCCAAGGCCCACCCACACCCCAGGCATCCAGACAAGGGGTCAGCTGAATGGGAAGGAGGGGTTTGGGGTAAAGGGGCAGACTCTGGGTCTGGAGGCAGAAGCTCAAGAGAAGGGGACAGCTGACCCAAGCCTACCATTCCAAGGTCCAAAGAGCTAGGGGTTCAGAGGAGTGGAGCCCTAAGGTGCCAGATGCCCGGTGGATGGTGTCAGAGCCGCTTGGGGCTAGGGAGGGTGCCAGGAAGGAAGCGCTCAGTTCTGGACACCCTCAGAGGGCCCAGTTGCCCAGGAAACACCCCAGAGGCCACAAGACAGAAGGGGTGGGTGTGGCCAGGCAGGAGTGGCATGTGTCCACCCTGAAAGCCGAATGCCGAAAGCGGGGGCGGGGGGGGGGCAGTGCCCAAGGCCTCCACCTCCACACCCGCCTTTCCCAGGAAGGCAGGGACAGCTGATGTAATGGTCAGAAGGGATGGGCGTGTTAGAATATGGAGACCTACATGGCAAAGAGGTAAAAATAGGCTGTGGAAAGGTGGAAATGGAGCCAGCTAATGAACACATGGGTGACGTGAAATCTCGTTTCCAGCCTGTGTCTGCTCCTGCACACTTCACACCTCTCCCCAGCAAGGAGCTCGGGTTCTCAGCAGACTCCCAGAGGCCTCCAGCCCCCTCCTGCCGCCTCTCCCCCGTGGCCCTGGCCCTCTCTCATGGCACTGTGGTCTGCCCGGGCCCAGTCCAGGACCTCCGCGGTGCCAGGTGGGCTGGAGGTGGCAGGCTCTGTTCCTCCTGCTTCCCAGGACATGGGCTCAGGGTTTGACACCATCTGTGCCACTGAGTGAAAGATCCCATCCCTCTCTTCCCTCCCATCCTCTGGGGATTTCTGGCTGTGTCCATCATAGACATGCAACTGTGAACTTAGAATGGGAAGAAAATGAGAGAAGCCACTGGCGGGACAGGCAGTCAGGTGTCTAACTCTTGTCCTACCCTTTGGTAATCCACAGGCCCCTAGTGGCAGCCTGGGACAGTCCCCTCCTGCCTTATGGGCCTCAGGGAATGTCAGCATCCCTGCCCAGTGCACAGGATCTGACAGGCACCCCAGCCTGAGGGGTTCTTCCCTCATTAGAAGCATAGCATGCCCAAGCTGGAAGGGGTCACCCCCTTCAGTCCTTCGTACAACAGACAAGGAAGCAGAGGCTCAGAGAGGGGCAGAGACTCGCCCAAGTCTGCAGAGCGTGGCTCTGGCACAACCAGAGCTAGAAGGTCAGCATCCTGGCTGTCAGCCCACAGGCTCTCTTGTAGGCCTTTGGAGGAAGCCTCCCTCTGTGACTACAGGTGTGTGGCTGACCCAGCCCAAGGCCAGGTGATGGGAGGCAGCCAAATCAGGTGCAGGATCACCCCACCTTTGCGATGCTGCCTGAGCTCCCAGCCCTCTGACCTTTCCCTGTCTCCTTCCCCACAAGTGCTCCATGCCCTCCCTGAGACAGGCAGGAGATGCTTCCCTGAGTTCCTGGTGGCAAAGACTTGGCTAAATGCCCAGCCCTCTACTTGGCCTGTGCTGTGGCCATATAAGAGATTCCAGAGGACCTGCAGCAGGGCTCCCAGTACCAAACAGGGATACTGTTTGGTACTGGGAGCCTAACTGGCACTTGCTGGCTGCTCTCAGCCCCTTACCCTATCCCCTCCTCCTGGTACCTCAGGCTCAGAGCTTCCTTTTGGTTCTTTCTGGTCACCAGGCCTGTCCTATGCCCCAGACCCTCTCCACCAGGGCTCCTCCACAATCAGCCAAGCAGCCCAGCCACACCCACGCAGTACCCCAGCAGTGGGGTACACTATTACCCCCCTGTGGGACCTCCAGGCAAGAGGGAGGTTGGGGTGGCAGGGATGAGGGAGAATAGGCTGGTGCCCCTTCCCTGCATCCCCCCCACCCACCAACCACCAGAGAAACTGGGATTTCAGGGTTGGGGGTGGGGCAGAGATGAAAGATGAGGGGCAGCAGTGGGCGGGGGAGGGGGGAGCCAAGCAGGGAGATGGGGCAGAAAGGCTGGCTTGCTCAGGCGAGGGCAAGCATGCCTGGGGAGCAGGCTTGATCCAGAATGGTCCCAGGACAGCCACGCTGGCCTCGGACCCATGGGACACCCCAGGGTGGCCTGGGTGAGGGCACCAGCTGGGGAGGGGGCTGTCCTCCCGCTCCAGGATCGCTGAGGGCACCACCGCCTCATCCAGCAGCTGGGCCAGGGCTGGTCAAGGCCAGTAGCCTCTCTGCTCCTCCATCTCTGCCGCTGCCGCTGCAGGCCTTTGCCTGTGCTCGTACCTCTTGTCCCCCTGAGCGTTCTGGTTCTGCTGGGTTCCTGGGTTTTGCAGGTCAGGGATATTGGCAAAGTCATCCTGTTCCGAAAGCCCTAAGACCAAGGATAGCACCACCATCCTGCCTTCCCTGCCCGAGGTGGGCAGCCCACCAGCCGGGAGGAAACGAGGAGGCCCCACGAGTGGGGTCGGGGAGGGGAAAGAGAGAGACAGAGACAGAGACAGAGACAAAGAGAGAGAAGAAAAAAGCGTAAGAAACTGGCCCTGCAGGAGAGAAACCACACTTTAGCACTGTCAACAGTTGTAGTAGAGCAGAGTCGGGTGGAGGCAGGAAGGGAGAGAGGGAGTGAGGGAAGGCGTCCATGGCCTGAGACCAAAGCCTGCCTTGGGGCCAGAGAGCAAGATGCTCTGGAGGCATTCGGGGAAGGGGCTGGGCAGAGGCCCGCTGAAGTGGCATGTGCCCGGGATGCTGTCAAAGAAGACTTGGGGCAGGCTGGGGGAGGGGAGCATAGGCTCTGGGGCATGCAGACTTCCAAGGTGAACTCCTCTCCAGCTGAACAAAGACCAGAGGCTACTTGCTCTGGCCATCTGGGCCCCTGGGAGAAGAGGGAGGGCCTCCATTGCCATCTTGCTTTGGGATATGCAGGCAGCTTTGGGCTCCCAGGTGGGAGGTTCTTAGAAAGTTTGGAAATCCAATGGGCATTGCACCCTGTGCTTATGGAAGGCCCTCATAAAGACATCTCTGGGACATGGTCAGCCAAATGGCCCTGACACCAGGAGGGGTCCCTGAACACACAGCCCATAGAGAACGGAAGTCCCTTCTGGTATATCAGGTGTGATGGCCATAGTGGGCCTTCTCTGGAGTTCCCAGGAATAACTACTGAGGCTTTTGGGTCCAGTTCAGCGGCCTTTCCTTGGAGAAGCAGTCCAGAAGTCACCAAAAAGCCAAGGTGGAGAGAGAGAAAGTGCAGGAAGCTGGAAAGGTCTGTAGGCATCCTGGTAGGACTCAAGGGAGCCTGTTTCTGCAGTGAGGGAGATCTGTTAGAGGCTGGAGCCATCCTGCTTTGAGGGAGGCTCGGTCCAGGCAGACAAGGAACTGGCAGCAGCCCGGGGCCAGAGGTCAAGGTATGATGTGATGTTTTCCATATGGGGCATTCTCAGAGAACCCCAGAACAATGGCGGGGTCACTCTGCATTTTCCAGGGACAAAAACGTGACCTGCTGCTCCTCAAATTCATCAGAATTCATGGGCATTTTCTGGGTATTTTGTGGAGCTCATCCGGTGCTGGATATCTCATTCGAATAAAGCAAGAGCAGTATCTCATTTGGGGGAGGCAGGAAAGCATGTCTCAGGAAGGGCCAAGGGAAGGATGGTGTAAACTCAACAGACTGTTCCAGAGAGGTGGATCGTGGGTTGATCCACTGTCGAGGAAGGCAAGGTTTAGACAGGAAGAGGTGGCTGTGGTTATTTCCTAGAGAGGTTGTCAGAAAGGGAACTCAAACAGGTGAGACGTGGCACCTGGGGCAGGCGGGGAGCAGCAGGAAAAATGGGAGATGGCAGTGGGGGCTGGGGCAGGGGAGGAAGCTAAGTGGTTGAGCTGCCTTCTGTGCCATGCATCTTGGTCCTGGGCACATTACTCCATGCTGACACTCTTGCTGGCATCTAACTTTTGGGAAACAAGTCCCCCTTCCCTCAGGACAAACCCTCATTTTCTTTGTTCTGCCCACCGAGGTACTGTTTCAGAGTTGGTAAAATTCCATTTGGCTGCTTGGGAGCAGGATGAGCTGGGGGAAGGAGAACCCAACGAAAACAACATGTTTTTCCCTGGTTAATGCATTTTTCAGATACTCCTTTTGCTCTCCTTAAAAACAAAACGGAAAAAAAAAAAAAAGAGGCTCCTCTGCATAAATTCCCAATTTGTCATTCTTGCCTGCAATACAAGCTGCAAGGGTGAGAATGAGAGGCAAGAGGAGAGTCTGTGGTATTGTGTGTGTGTGGGGGGGGGGTCATACCCATCAAGCAAGAGGAGGTGGGGTCCAGGAGGCCTCGCAAGCCCTTCCACCCTGGCTCCCTACCCGGACCAGCAGCATTTGGGACAAGAGAAGGGCCTCAGAAGCATACCAGCTAAACTGTAAGGCAGGGGTCAGAGGTGAGCAAAGTACAGCTGGTGGCCTGTCTTTCTACAGCCCACAAGCTAAGAATGGCTTGTGCATGTTTAAAGTGTTGCTTTAAAAAAATGTGATCGAGACCATGTGCCCCATAAAGCCTAAAATATTTATAATCTGGCCCTTTACAGAAAAATAACTTGCCGACCCCTGCCGTGAGGAATGACAAGTGGAGAAGGTGGGGGGTTGTGTGATGTCTAGTGATGGCCAGCAAATGAGAGGCCCATAAAGCCATGGTGGGTGCAGAAGTGCAGACAAAGGATGCTGGCACATGAGTGCTGCTCATCAAATCCCAGTTGACCAGCGGTGCAGCAGGCAGGGAAGAGTTGGTAAACAGAGGCTTGCCTGCATCTGGCTCCCTTCTTCCCGGTGCCTGGGGACAGCCCCCCGCCCTAGTCTGATGGCTCCTAGAACAGGAAGCAGGGTGATAGCTGTGCAAAGAGCAGCCTGAGGGCAGGAGGAGCAGAGGGGTGTGGGGGCCCTCTGGCTCCCTGTTCTGTTCAAGCCACAAAAGAACCAATTCCCTGGACTCTCCTAATCCACACCTGTGCCGCCGTATCTGTCCCCAAACAAACTACCACCTGAAGCCAGGAGGCCCTGCTGGGCATCTTGTTTCATGAAGGCACCAGCTGGATTCCCAAGGGTCTTTGGGTCGGGGAGAGCCCCTGCAGATGTGCTGCCTGGATGTGCCAAGTAGAGTCGGGGCAGCAGGTGCTGCCAGGCCAGGGCCACAGGCCATTTGCATGGGTGTGGGAAGCCGGCATGGCTAGGCCTCTTCTGTTGGGGTGCCTCTGCCAGGGGCAGGCCTCCCATCTGCCCTGGAAGCCTGGGCAGGGGTCTCAGCTGGAGAGGTAGGATGCATGGAGGGACCTGCTTGCTTTCAGAATCCACACATCTTGCCAGTGAGGTGGGCCTTGATATTGGCCTTCCCCTTCCTTATATTAGGCCAGAGGCGGCAAGTGGTATGAGGGAGGTCCAGGTCTGCCTGGGCTCTGAGAGTGAATCCAGATGCCTGGAGTGATGCCAGAGAGAGGGTGCTCTGGGCAGGGCCCCTACCTGCGTGAGGGGGGGACAGGGGCGGGACAGCATGTGACCTCGCGTGAGGGGGGGACAGGGGCGGGACAGCATGTGACCTCGGGGAATGAGGAAGGGCTACAGTTAGATACCCTCAGTGATATGTGGTTACTTCTCAGACCTGTGCCCTTGAAAGAAGGCTCTGATTTAGAAAGAATGTTTTCTAATGCTTTGAGGGGAACATCTGAGGTTTATCCTTAGGGGATGGATCATTCTGAGATCTGGATGACAGGTGGCTACAGAAGGTCACAGAGGCAGAGGACAGGGCTGATGGCAGGGACCGGGGAAGTGAGAGGGAGGAAGGAAGTCCGGGAAGGTGAGCAGAGTCGGGTTACAGGGAAGAGGTATTTGGAGGGTTAGAGGCAGGGCCAGGAGCCCAGGTTTGGGAGGAGGGGAGAAGGCTGGCAGGGAGGCCGGGAGCAGCCTGGAACTAGCAGCAAAAGGAGGCAGACCTGGTGGCCTCAGCAGCATTGTCCAGTGACTTTTAGCGGGGGGATGTGGGGGTGTGTGGGGCTTCTCCAGGCCCCAGGAGGCACCGAAGAAGGGGAGCTGGGGTCCTCAGAGGGGTGGCTCAGATCCTTCCATGGGGGGGGGCGCTTCAGGCAGGAGCCTCGAGCCACAGGAGGCTGGGGAGGGGTCGGCCAAGTCTGCTCAGCATCCTGCCCCGGAGATGGAGGCCAGGAGTTGTGCAGGGCCAGCCGCTCCCAAGGAGATGAGAGGAGAGAGGTTGGGTTGGGAGGAGGGGGCTGGCCCGCTCAAGGGGGGGACTTACAGGAAGGATTTCATGTCCAAGCCTCGGTTTCGAATCTGCCCCACCACGTGGTCCCAGCTGCCTGGGTTGGAGCGGCTGCGGCCACCGGCCGCCCGGTACTTGGAGCCGGCTGAGGCGCCCTGCCGAGCCTGGACTCGGCCAGAGGCCCGGGGGTTGGGGCCCGGCGCCGAGGCCATGTGGGCCTGCAGCTGGCCCAGGCTCTGGCTGGTGGTGGGCTGGCTGGGCTGCCGGCCCCGCTGGTGCTGGCTCAGCGGCTGCTGCAGGCTCTGCTGCCGCATCAGAGTGCGGGGTCGCTGGCATTTCGGTTCTCCCGCGGAGCTGGGGATAGACTCAAGGGTAGTGGCCGTGGACAGGGTGGAGTCCTCGAAACTTGGGGCAGGTGAAGGAGAGGAGAGAAAGGAGAAGCAGGTGAAGGGATCACAGTGGAGGAGAAAGAAGCCAAGGGTCAGGACTAGGAGGCCCCAGTGCAGGGCGCGCTCTGCTGGACCTCGCTGGGCCTCCATTCCCGATGTCGTTGCTGCTGCTGTAGCTGCCACCACCGTACCCTGCACCCGCCCTGAGGCCCCCAGGTCAGCCCTGCCCGGCCCACCCTCTGGCCTTGGCTCGGCTGGCGCCCGAACGCCTCCCGTCTGAGCAGCTGAGGGAGCTGTGGAGACTGCGTGGTGAAGGCGTCCCCGGGGCCCTGGGCCTGGCGTGCCGAATGGCAGCGGGGAGAGGGAGATGGTGCCACTCCCTCCCCCGGTCTCGCTGGGGGATCCCAGGAAAGTCTGCCTCTGTGATCTAAGGACAATCGGCCTTTGGAGACACAAAGAAATCCAGGCCAGCACAGAACTGGCCTAATAATGTGTGGCAAGTCAGGGAAAGCCAGCAATTCTTATGCTGGGGTCACGGAGGCTGGGGACGACGGTCTGAGACACCCTCTGTCCTCAGACCTCGGCCTCGTGGCCAGGGCTGCCTCAGGACTCAGGCTTTGGCACCCATCTTTGCCCTCCTGCCTGGGTTCCTTGTTTCTGAGTTTCTGTGTCCCTTCCTGATATCTTGGGAATGACTCTCAGTCAAAGGAGGGACCCAGGAAAGAAGCAGATGAGGTGGGAGCCCCAGGAACCAAGTGTCTGGCCCCTTTGCCCCAATTCTGATGGAAAACAGGGTGACTATGCATTTGCAAGAGGGCACCCGCCTAACAGGCCCATTGGCATCCCTGAAAAATGCTGATAAGGGGCTGGGACAGGCAGGAAACCGGACATGGCTGATTAGAGGCGGTAGGAGGTCAGAGTGATCTGGGGTTCAAGCCCCAGCTCTACTGCTTCCAAACTGTGGCATGTTTTGGTGACTCATGAAAAATGAAAAATCATCTCTGGGCTGCCTGTGTCAGGGCTGCCATGTGGACCAGACCTAAGGAGGTCAGGCCCAGGGACACTGTCAGGGCTGCCATAAGGACCTAATGAAGTCGGGCTAGAGCTCCCCTGCCAGTGGTATCTGCAAACTTCTCAGGAGACGGAGGTAGGAAGAGTCAGAGACCCCTGGCCCGCCCTCTTCCCAGGCAACCTGCCTGCTTTGTTCCCTGGCCAGAGATTTCAGCACATCCCACAGGCAGGGCCAGAGCCTCAGACATCTCAACCTCCTCCTCTGTCCCCTCCCAAACCAGTGGTTGAGGGCAGGGGTTGGCAAACTATGGTCTGTGCGCCACATCTGGCCTACCACCTGTCTTTGTAAATAAAACTTTATTGGAACACACTGTCATTAATTTATATCCTGTCTATGGCTGTGACATGCTTGAGTGGCCATCAAAGAGACTCTGGGGCTTGCAAAACCTAAATATTTCCTATCTGGTCATCTGCAGGGAAAGCTGGCCATGTACCCCCCACCGGGGCTGCCTGAGGGAGGGGCCCCAGGGCCCTTGGAGCTGCTTTCACCACTGCAACCAGACCTCAGCTTTGCTCCTCCCGAGCCTACCCTGGGAACCAAAGGACATCAGTTAGACTGCCCCTGTGGGCTAGAGAGAGAAAGAGAAAAAGAGTGAGAGCAAAAGGGTGAAAGTCAGAGAATAGTAAAGAGAGAATGAGAGAGAGGGGAGAGAGAGAGAGAGACAGAGGCAAAACATGGCTTTAGCTGGGAGCTGGGGGTCTGGAGGGGGCAGCAGCCTTGCTTAGCTCAGGCCTGGAGCCGGGGCTACCACCAGAGAGAGGTACAGGCCTGGCTGGCCAGGTAGGCTCACAGCTCCCTGGGGGCAGGCCAAGGCAGGGGAGGACGACACTTGGACAGCCTCTTCCTCCTCTTTGCTGACCTCATTTTGGGTTCCTATCACATCCAAAATTAGTCCGATTTACAACCTCTCAGTCACAGGAAACTAAAATTGGTGCCTCTAGGCCTGGAGCCAGCGGATGGCATGAAGGCTTCAGCCAGCCTGGAGTCTGTGGCCAGAGCAGCCTGGGGAGGGAAGTGTGCTGGGCCTGGCTCTCCAAGGGGGTGTGGGGCTTCCTTCCCTGACCTTACTGAGTCTCTGAAGCTGTTGTCAGGGGAGAAATCAGCCTGTGTGCCCTCAGGCCAACAAGCAGATAAGGTCTCCACACAGTGACCCTCCATGGTCCCAAAGGCAGGAATCCTAGGCCTTCTGAAGAGAACTGGGGGCAAGAGTGGGGGGTGGAGGCACTGAATGGAGGCAACAAGCTGGCCCCCAGCTAAGGAGGGCTCAGGTCTTCTAAGTGAGAAGTTGCTCCTTTAGCTGAGAATGAAGCTGTTCTGATTGTTGAAAGTGGAGCCTACATCCTAATGGGTGAGAACGGTAGGAGTTCAAAGGATTTAGAGAGCCTGGGAGGGCTCAGCTGTGGGGAAATGGAAGTTTCTAAAAGCCAAGATGAGAATGAGGCTGCCCCATGGTAGGGGAGGAGAGAACATATTTTCTGCTGTGAACAGGGGCCAGCCCTATGTACATGGCCCAAGAGATGGACCATCTCGCTTGGCAAAACTCAGAGAGCTACTAAAAAGGAAACAGCTCTTCCATCCGATGTCCAGACCACACTTGCCAAAAGAGAGAAGCTAGCTGCTGGGGAGGGGAGGGTGCTCAACAACCCCACCGCCAAGAACACACCACCCAACAGCTGCCAGCAGGACAGCTCACTGCCCAAGACTGGGACAGCCAGTGGGGATGGCTGAGATGAGGATGGACCAATGAGGGTGGCCCAGATGCTCATGGTGGGCTTACAGGACAGATGGTGAGGGGGGTGGGGGTGGGGGAGGGTACAAGCAAGAGTGGGACAAGCCAATGGAGGCAACCTGATGGTCAAAATGGAATGGCTCAGCCTCTGGGTCTAGGGCCGTTTGCTGGCTGTAAGAGGGAGGCTCAGTGGTGGATGGGTGGCATCAAACAGAGGCCAACTCCCCAGGGACGGGATGGTCCAATGGCTGAAAACCATGGGTAGTCCATAGAGGGATGACCTGACGGCTGGGATAGGGAGGCCAATCAAAGAGAATGGGATGACCTGAGGACTGAAATGAAGCTGCCTGGGGGGTGGGGTGGGGGTGCAGAAAATGAAATGACTTGGTCACTGGCAAGGAAAGGGACGGATGGGGAGGATGGGGACAGCAGCCGGGAGGCTGAGATGTGACATCGTATGGCTGTTAGTTGTGCCCGATGGCAGGGATGATGTGCATCTCATGAAGCGATGGAATGAGCCAGGGGCCAAGGATGGCACCTCTGGGGGGCAGCAGCGGGGCATGCTGGGGGATCCCCGCTGTCCCCCCGCCCCCTGCTCGCAGGGTCCGGCCTGAGCTTGGGCTCTGGTGGCCACAGAGCCATGACTCACTTGGACAAGTTGAGCTTCCCTGCGGCCAGGTGGCTCTGTACCGTCCGCCAGCGGCCTCTCCCCGCCTTGCCACTGCTGCCCGGCTCGCTGGGGGCAGCCCCACCGCCGCTTCTCAAGGCGTCCTCTCCAGGTGGCGGCACCGGCGCTGGCTTCTCCCCCGGCCGGCCTTCCCGCTCCACCGCCAGCCCCGCCGCAGCGGCCACCTTGGCGCCTGACAGGAGGGTGCCACTGGAGGCACGCGGGAGGCAGCCGGGCCAGAGGGGCGCCGGGGGTGGCGGTGGGGGGGAGAGGGTGGGCCACACGTGGGGGTGGAGGGGGGAGAGGGAGAAAAACAATGACAGATAAAAGAAAGAAAGAGACAGTGAGAGAGGAGGAGAGAGACAGACGGACAAGAGACAGACAGAGAGAGAGAGAGAGACATCAGCGCTGCAAGTGGGTTAACAGCGGAGCCTGCAGAGAGGAGCGAGGGGCCGGGCGGGCTGGGGTCAGAGAACAACGCACCACGACAACGGAGGGGCGGCCCCTCCCCACCGCCTGGGGCAGGGGCAGCGGGGGTGGGGGGAGGGCAGCCACCTCCAACTCTATCCCACAGGACAACGAAGGGTTAACGACGGAGGAAGAGCGGGCTGTCCAGGCCAGGAGGCCCCAAGGCAGGGAGAAAGAGAAAGCCGTGTTAGTCAGAGTTCATCACCACCACCACCATCACCGCCATCACCGCCACCGCCACCGCCACCACGACCACGACCACGACCACCGACCACCGACCACCGACCACCGACCACCACCACCGAGCAGCCAGGGCAGCAGCACACAGCAGGGAGGAGAAAGCGAGCCACACCGAGAGGGAGGGACCAAACGGGCAACCCCATCCTGACTGCACAGAAGGGTGGCTGGGGGGACCGCGGGGGGCCGTGGGGGGCCAGCGGGGGAGCCAGGTGTGGCTGCGGAGGGGCTCTCCTGCTCAGCTGGCCCTGGCGGGGAGGGGACAATGGGAGAGGGGTGGGCAGGTGAGGGGAGGCAGGAGGGGTTGCTCGTCTCCATGGCCAGCCTGCCCATGGGTGCATGGGTGGGGAGGTGGGGGGGCGGGGAATGGGAGCCGGAGGGGAAGTGAGGGCCAGGAGGGGAAGGAGGGCGTGCGCGGGTACTCGGATACTCAGTACATATGATCAAACCAGGTAAAGTCACTCACTTGAGGGACAGTCGTGGGTCGCCATAAGGGGCGTAGGGTGAAATGTTTAGAATAAACTCCTTGGGAGGATAGGAGCTCCATTTCTGCTGCACTGTGCTCTCATTGTTATTCCAAAAGTCTCTGTCTAGATCGCTGGAGGGGCAGAGAGAGGGGAGAAAACAGGGAGATACAAGAAGAAACAAGAACCGCAAGTCCTGCGGGGGTAGAGGGGACTGGGGGGGGGCAGAAGAGACGGCCCCCACCCCCCCGGGGCGGCACACACAGAGCGGAGAGGGCCAGGGTCTGCTCCTGCAGGAGGAAGAGAGGAGGCAGCTATGCCACGCACACACACACACACGCACAACACGCATGCCTGCTCACACATGCGTGTCTGCACACGCTCACACACTTGAGGGCCGGGAGAAGCGACGCAGAAAGGAGGCGAGTTGCAGGTGGGCACACTGGAGCCTCACACCCGGGAAGCTGGTGGGAGAGAGAAAGATGGTGAGAGGCGAGGAGAGGGCAGGGGGTACAGGCCTAGGGTAGGATGGTGCGGGGAGCGGGAGAAGGAGAGGGTGCTGGTTTCTGGCTGGAGAGAGCTGAAAGGTAGATCAGACCCTGCTGTCAACTTGCTGGGCACATCCCCTCTCCTGGCCTCAGTCTCCCTGCTTGCCAAACCAGAACATTGGCTGCATCTGCTGGGGTGCCAGCTCTCCTACAATCGAGACCCAAGGTTCTCCCCTCTTCCATGCACCTCCACTGAGCCACTCCTGGGGCTCAGCTCCCTGCCCATCTTTCTCCTCCTTCCATTGGCCCGAGGTCTTCCAGCCTCCTCTGCTCTCTCCCTTCCTAGGACACAGCCTTTGCATGAGCTCAGTGGGATCTCAGCTGAGCTGAAGACATTCTTCACTCATTGCAGATGTGGTGGTTGGGTCGTCCCCCAGAAAAGAGAAGCATCTCCAGGCCTCTGATCTTGCGGAGGATATGACAGGTCACCCAGAGCCCATCAGGTCCAATGTTTTGGGCCTGTGTGATGGTAGCCTGTCTTTCTCTGTGGGGGCTGATAGGCAGACTCAGCCTCAGGTCCTCGACACGTACCTGAACTGCCAGCCAGGGCAGCCTCTCCCTGTGCCCTTGATCCTTTCCAAGGTGGAGCTGCCGGGTCTGGAAGGGACCCTCTGACCCAGTCTTCTCACCCCCTCCTGCCCTGAGACAAGTCATACGAATGAAGTAGATGTGCTGGAAACACAGGGAATGTGGTGACTTACATTGGGGGTTGGCTGCAGAAGGCACAGCCTGGAAATCCCAGAAACCAAAGGCAAGGGGCTCCATCAACTTGTCAGGCTCCTGGGGCCCTGAGGGGCAGGCCTGGGAGCACAGGGAGAGGAAAGGCAGAAGAAACAGGCCACAGGAACATTCCAGAAGGGAGCCATGCCTGAGCCCTCAGAAATGCATCTAGGTGAAGGAACTGGGGGTAGGGGAGTTGGGGGCAGGGCTTGCACTGAGGCTGTGCCAACTACTCAAGGTCAAGGCAAGGGCCTTGTGGAGGGGGGAGGCCACTGGGAAGGAAGGCACATCTCCTGAAGATGGAGCAAACATGTTCTTGGGAAACCTGCTTCTCTCCCCACCCCCTTACCATACCTTGACCTTGACCTTGACCTTGGTTCTTAGCCTCAGACTTGGAAACAAAGCAGAGAAGCTGAGCAGCCACTTCAGGCCCAGAGGAGGTGGTGGTCCTGGCCCAAGGGGGTGAGGACAGTGCCTGCCTTTCCAGAGTGCACCTCAGAAATGTCTCACAGGGACTCCGTACACAGGGTTCAAAGCCAAAGTCCTGAGCCAGTTTGTGAGTGGCACAGTGGAGGCTGAGGTGGGAGAGGCAGGACAAGCCTTCAGCCCTGGGAGGCCTGTCCCTGGGGATGCTGCCTCAACAGAAGACCCTTTTCCTGCCAGAGACATCCTTTTACATCCTCCGGTGTAACAGAGGGATGGAATAGTTGGAAGCCTCCCTCCCCCTGCCCTCTCCAGATCTCCAAAATCAAGGATCATCCAATCCTAGATCCTAGAGAGAAAGATCCATCAAGGTCATTTCTGCCAGGCTGGGATGTTGACTATTGCGGTACTGGAAAAGATGATCTTTAATTTTAAAAGCTTGGGAAACACAGGTTCCTTTACTGTAGGACTTCTCAGAGCCTTTACTATGTCAATGAATACTGGTATCTCCAAGAGGGAGATAGTGTGCAGTTTTTCCCAAACTTATTTGGTCATGAGACCCATGAAACCACAGTGATTCATGGAATAACTATGAATCATTTATGGAGTGCTTTGAGGAACACAGTTTGGGAAATACTGCTAAAGAATGCAACTTCCCAGAATCCTTGACAAAAGATCCCTTCAGGCATGCCTGGGTGGATGAGCAGTTGAGTGCCTGCCTTCGGCTCAGGGCATGATCCCGGTGTCCTGGGATAGAGTCCTGCATCGGGCTCCCTGCATGGAGCCTGCTTCTCCCTCTGCCTCTATCTCTGCCTCTCTCTCTTTCTGTGTCTCTCATGAATAAATAAATAAAATCTTTTTTTTTTTTTTTTTAGAAAAAGATCCCTTCGGAGGAGGTCCTAAGTCCATGAAGAGATTGTGCAATGGCTAAGCCCTACCTCCTGCCACCATACTGGCCCTGGGCCCTGGTTAAGAGGTAAAGGCCTAGGAACCCAGGGGCATGGAGACTGGAATGGTGGCTTCCTTCCTGTAAGGCAGGGTTTCTGACAGCTCAGCAGGGTGGGAGCGGTGCTGCTGCGCCCAGGGCTATAGAGAAGAGGAGATGGCCACTGTCTTAAAGCATCCGTGGGTGCTGTCCCAGCCTGCCCACTCTGCTGCCTGCCTTCCCCCTTGCCGGGCATCCCATCTCCTCTCACGGGCCCTTTCCACGACTATCCAGAACACGTACATCCCAGGTTATGGCAACCGGCAGAGACAGGTTCCCTGGCCCAACAGCAAACTGGGTTAGAGGGGCCTGGTCTGGAGGTGGGATAGGTGCTGGGCTGGCCCCTCGTGGTCCTTCCCTGCCTTCAGAAAGCCTGGGGCCTGGGCTCTGCAGCAGCCCCAGAGACCTGCCAGTTCTCAGCTTTGAAGACTGGAGAGTGTGCAGCTGAACCCAGCTTCAAAGGCTCCCTGAGGCCTCCTCCCAAGCCTCCTCCTGCCCGCAACCTCAGCAGGCCCACCTCTACACTTGCCCGCCACCCCCTTCCAGACACACACTGGAAGCTTCTGTGAAGGCCCCAAGCAGGGTCAGAGCAAGAGATAAGAACAGAGGAGGAGCAGGTAAGGAGCCCTCATGAGCCGGGGAGAGGGAGAAGGGAGAGCATGGATAAGAAGGGGAAACAGGACTAGGCTGTGGGAAGGGGGCAGAAGGGAAGGCGTGGGGCACGGATGGTGTGGGCCTTGAGTCACAGGAAGGAGTGGGGGTTAGGGTGGGGCACGGAAGGCTGGGGCGGCTCTCCTTCAGGCAAAGCCCCTTGCTGGCTGGCTCAGCCCTGGCCAGGCTACGATGGAGGGGCACCCAGCCCTATATCAGCCTGACAGCCTCCCAGCGAAGGCCTGGGTTCAGCAGAGAGGAGCCCTCCAGAGAGAACCCTCACTCCCAGAGCTTCCAGCCAGGTGGGGTGGTAGGTGAGGGGGGAAGGGGCTGCCCTTGGTGGTCCCAGCGACCCTCTGCTAACTGGGCTGGCCATGGTGGTCTGTGGTAGGCAAACGTGTCTCCTTGAGGAGGGATCTCAGAGCACAAGTAGGGAGCCTGGCTGAGTCAGAGGCAGCAAGACAGGCCACAGGGACCAGGAGTGACAGGAGGGAAGAGTCCCCATTGTCAGCTTTCCAAGTGGCCCAAAACTGAGGTCTACTCCCCTTCCAAGTCACCCTCAGGCCATTGGTGAGGTCTGAAATAAGAGCCTGAGCCCCACCGGGAGAGGAGACCCCAGCCCAGGGGCTGGGGGAGGAGCCTGGATTCGCAGGACAGCTAGGATGGGGTGATGTGTGATATGAGGGTAGATGGAGGGACAAGTGAGCAGGGTTGGGGGAGGAGGGAGACAGTGCTGGAAGTGACAGCTGCCAGAAAGTGGAGCTCCAGTCCTTGTAACATTGTGAGGCTCTGGGGGCGGGGGCAGGGTGGGGTGAGTGGGCATGGGCGCAAAAGGTGGAGCCCTGGAGCCACCCTGAGGTACCACAAGTGTGGGGGAGGGGGCAGGGAGAGACAATGGCCCCAAGGTGTGAGGGGAGACCAAATGTGTGTGTGGCCAGTGGGAGGAGGGGGAAGCTCATCCCACTTGGGCTGCCTGCGTGCTCCCACCCCAAACTTGAAGCCTGGCACCTACTTGATGGCCTTCTTCTCACTGCGCCCACGCCCTGAGTCTGGCGTGCCCACGGTCTCCAAGGAGTTCTTGTAGCGTTTGCCCTGTGGAGATAGCACAAGGGTCACTCCTGGGAGATAGCACCGCACCCTCCCTACCTCCCCAGAATAGGTCTAGGTAGGGGAGGAGGCTGGAGCCCAGCCTTGGCAGCAAGGTCTGGGGCCAATGTATAAAGGTGTCACTGCTGTGGGGTACCAACTCCACGGCGACCTGTTCCCTGCTTGGTAGTTCCTTGGCCCCATAAGGCTCGAGGACCTACTCCACCCCTTGACTGGCACCCCATGCCTGACCCCCAGGGATGGGGGCCCCTGCTGTCTGCCTGTCTCCCGGAGCTCTGGCCTGGCTCCCAGAACTACATCTCCCTCTGCCACCAACAGACGGCTCTCAGGCGCCTGGCCACATCACACTGGCCACGTCACCACCCCCAGATGGTGGGGGTGGCATCCTGTAGGGCAAGGTTGGCAGTGGCCAGTGACATCAATGGCAGGGGCAAAGAGAGGGCCCCATGCCCAGTCCTGTCCAGGACCATGTCCAGCACTGTCTGGGGGCTCCCTAGGGTCCTCCTGCCTCGGGCACTAAGGCAGGGCAGGGCTGAGCACTCTCCTTGACAGGATAGCAGCCTTAGGAAGAGAGGCTACCTGCAGGCTCTGAAGCTGGGGCAGCCTGGCCAGCACCCCCAGAGTTCCTCACACCAGCATGAGTAGGAGGAAAGGGCATGCAGGATGGACAGATGCTCTAGGTCCCCTGGCTACAGAAAAGGCCGGGGCTGCGGTGGGGCCTGGGCCTGCTGCTGGAAAGGTGAGCACCATTCACCTTCTCAGTTTGGGTTTCTAAATTTAGCTCATGCAGAGCCTGGCACCATTAACATTCCTGGCTGCCACCAAGCGTCCTCACGCACACCCATGGGCCATGGGCCTGAGCCAGGCCCAGGGCTGATGCAGGCAGTGGGGTGGTGGCAGCGCATACACACACACACACACACACACACACACACACACACTGACACATGCACACATGTTTCCCCACCATCCTGTCACCAACACCACAGCCACAACAGATTAGCCCACCCTCCCTAAAGCAAAATAAAAGCCACACCGTGGCCCAATGTTCCCCAACATTCCTGTCAACTGCAGCCCCTTCCAGGGCATGGGAGCCAGCCACTGAGGGAGATGGGCAGAGGTAGCGGGCTCCCTGGGATGGTGTAGGCAGAGGGGGTAGGGTCCTCACTCTACCTCCAGCACCCCCAGGTCTCAGGGGCGCCTGGGTCCTGGTGCCAGCAATGCCATGCCACCCCAGTCAAGTCCCTATCCTCTCTGATCTCCTTTTCCTCCTTTCTGAAAAGGAGTGCTGTCACCAGATGAGCTCCAGGTCTCTCATCTTTTCAGGCTCTCACCATCAGATATTACTATTTCTCTCCTGACTTACTTCCATACCCCCAACCCACCCCCGGGGCACAGGGGGGTGGAATGCAGCCCCGAACGGCAGGGACTGTTTGGTCTCTAGTACTTGGTGTAGAAGTGGGTACCCAGCAGTTCTCAAAATGGGCCACATGGGAGTGCCCCCGTAATGCCTCAGTCCCAGGCTGTTGCCTCTGAGCCAAAACTTTAAGAGTGAAAAAACAGAGCTGTTGGGTCCTCTGAGTCCACAGAAGCTGGCCTCTCTCAGCTCTAGCTCTGCTCTTTCCCATCATTACCCAGAAGTTCAAATCCCAAACAATACCCAGTCCAGACTAGGAAGATCAGGACCTGGAGCTGCCCCATGCTGGCAAGGGCCCTTCTCTGGGCAGGACACAAGGAGGAGCCCACACCCCATGCTCCCCTTCCCCCAACATCTCAGGCAGTGTGGGACAGGGAGGACCCTGCTGCCCGCCTCCCCCCCCCCAGCCCCTACACATCACCCCCTCTCTTCTTTCTCCCTAGTCTTGGCAGGAGAATTTGCCCTAGTCAGCATTTTCTTCTAAGGTGGGTCAGCTGCCCCTTCCTCAAGGCCAGGCACAGCTGAATGCACTGTCCCCAGTGCTGTGGGGGACAGGAACCAGTGCGATTTGAGGGGCCAGGGGAAATCATGGGAGCAACAAAAGGAAAACCAGGCAGGGTCCAAGAGACACTAGGTGGCTCTGAGGGAACCCAATACCACCAGCCTACTAATGAGGGGGTTGGCCAGGCTGATCTGGAAAAAGCCAGCTGGAGATTAAGGAAGTTATTAATGTTTGGCAATGGGATCTGGGCTGTCGGGGTATCACATCACTGCTGCTGAGGGGACAGGCGGGCAAGGAGAGTCCAGGAATGGTGCAAGGGGCATCTGAGAGCCCCTCCCCTAAAGCACAGGGACAGCCCAGGCTCCTCAGATGGTGGTTGGGGTAGGGGAGTTGTGGCAGGGTTGGGGGGCTGGGCCATTCAGGGGGGAAAGTCAATAGGGATAGAGAGACTGTGGCTTGGACCCCTGGGGAAGTTGCTGGCGGCTGAGGGGGGTGGGGATGCTGCACATCTAAGATGCCCAAGGTGCTTCCTGTGCCTGCAGCAGGCCCCCCTCCACCTGCTACAAACGTCATTTTGGAACACTGGTCCCCAGGTGAACTGAGTGGGGGAGAGGCTCTCACCACAATACACACACACACACACACACACACACACATACACTGCAGCACTTACCAGGAGAGGCCAGGACAGTGGGGATGAAGCAAGTGTCAGCTCACTCAGGTGGAGATCTGATGAGATGAAGCACATCCCACCATGCAGGGGTGAACAGACACACACATACTGTACCAATACCCCCAGGGTCGACACATTCATCACAGAGACCCCCACTCAAGGTTACTGGCAGCGCCTTCTCATCCACCTTGCTCTGCCCTCAGATGCATACATACAGACGGCCTAACAGGCCCTGCAACAAAATGAGCAGGGCTGTGGTGAGCATGTGCTCCGCCCCTCCCATAGCCTCTCAGGACACTTATATTCACAGGCACATGGCCAAACCCCCTCCTCCACCTCCCCTAAAATTCCGAGACAGATGCAGATGTGCAGATGCCGGAGATCCAGAAACAATGCGGGGCAGCCAGCCTGACTCCCTGCACCTGCACACCACCTGCACATGGGGCATGGGCCCAGGTTATGCATGCACTCCCATGTGGGGCACACAGGACACACGGGGCAGAGCTTGCCTTCTCCAGGGCTCCTCCCCAGGGAAAGCATCTACCTGAAGCTAAGTGTCCCAGAATGAAGAGCCATGTTCCCAGTCCCTGAGTTTGCCTTTCCTGAAGGAGACAAACGGGGTTATGGGCCTCCTAAGTCCTTCCCACAGTTATCTGCCCCTTCTCTTCCACAGGATTGGGGCTTGAAGCCTACAACTACAGGGTGCCCACCGCCACAGCCCTCCCCCCTCGTCCTTAAGGCCCTCTGCGTCAGGGCAGGGAGAGAATGGGGGGGGTGTCAGAGGTGGCACCTGCCCCCACTCCCACCACTGTCAGTCGAGGGGATGGAGGTGTCCGCCAGGGATGCTTCTTCACCCTAGCCCCAGGAAAGGCCCGTCCACCTTTGGGGATGCCCCACTGCAGTCCCCAAAGTCCCCCCTGCACTTCTGGGCTGGGGCAGCAGGACCGGGGGTGGGGGGAGGCGGGGTGGTGGGCTAGCCCGTGCCCGTGCCCGAGCCGTGCCCGTCCCTCCTCAGGGAGCAGCAGGCTGCGGCCGGGCGGGCGGGGCAGACCAACGGCTCCGGCTCCGCCTGGCTTCCCCTCCGGGCCTTCAGGAGATGAATGACCCTCCTGACGGCCTCATTACTTATTGATGGCCTAATCCTGCTCGTTAATTCCCCAGCCCTCGTTAAAAATGAAAAGAAGCCATTTGTGCTTGTACAAACCCCAAGAACCAGGATGGATGTGCCGGCGCGGGGGGCGGGGCGGGGCGGGGCGGGCGGCGCCTCCCATTGGCCGGGAGACGCAGCCCTGGGGCGGGGAGCAGGGGCGGCCGGGCGGGTGGGAGGCCCCGCGGCTGGGGGACGCGGCTGCGATTCTCCGGAGGCGCTGCGGGTTCTTTCAGGGGGAGGTGGGGCGTGTGGGCCTGAGGCTGCGAACGTGCTCGGGCCTGTGAGACTCACGTCTGTCCACAGATGTGTCCCTAGGTGTGTGGTTCTGGGTGTAAATGCAGACTTATGGGGCCCACACCCAGGCCAACCCAGTGCGTGCGTGCATGTGAATTCCTACGGAAAGGTGCCTGACTATGAGAGCAGGTGGGTCATCTGCGTGTATCCTTGAGAGGATTCAAGAGCCCAAACTCTGGGGGGCGGGGGGCAGGGCCAGGCCCCGCCTCCGGGGCCCTCAAGAGCCTCACCAGTTTGCGCTGACACCAGTGGCAGAGGCCACAGAGGACGACGGTGACGCTAAGGCTGACGGTGATGATGGCAGAGACCAGCAGGACATCGCGGGTGGGCGCCCCTGGGGAGGACATGCACAGGTCAGACCCTCATTGGCCAGGGCCGGTGCCCTCCCTCAGCCCAGAGCCCCCCAAGAGCAATTACCCTACCCTTCCATCTGGCCCCCAAACTGGGAGCTCTGGGCCTTGCTGGCTGACCTTGGGAAGTTTCTTCCTTTCTCTATGACTCCGTTTCCTCAGCTGTAAAATGGGCAACTGTGCAGGTTGAAGTTCCTCCCAGGCTCTCCCTGCACGGGCTCTGTGTGAATCCAGATGATCCGCACCATCACCCAAACTTGATACCTCAAAGGGAGAGGCCAAGTATGCCCCCCAGCCCAGCCAGGCCTCAGTGGACACTTCTAATCCCCCTAAAAAAGCCACTGCTTCTGCGCAGCCTTCCTGCCCAGCACCATTCCATCCCCTTCAATACTCTGAGCCACAACTCCAGCCCCATTTGCCCAAAGGGCTTATTACTAGTTCCTATAGTCCTTCTAAGGACATTTGCCCCATGGGCGCTAACAGACCCTCAGAAGTGTATGGCCCAAACTCAACAGCAAAATATGTAGTCCAAAAGTGAATTTCTGGAATCCTCTGACCCGCCCTCATCCCCCTTCAGCTCAGCTTTCCTTGGGCTGGAAGCCCACCCATGTACACCCTGTCCTCCCCAACCCTTATCACTGGAGCTTGCCTATGATGCTCCCACTGTGTGGGCTCCAGCCCCACCTACACTGTCTGCAGTATCGTAAATGCTCTCGAGGGTCACTGGCAGCTTCTGTTCCAAGAGCTCAGGGGTCTTATACTTCAGAAGTGGCCATGTTGACAAACCTGTCCTGGTCCAAAAATCCCAGGTTTTTGTTCAAATTCCACCACTTGCTCACTGTGGCTTTGGACAAGTCACATAACCATTCAGTCTTCTGTGTGAATGCGATTAAACCTCCCTGCCTTCTCACAGGTGGTTGCAAACATGAGCTCAAACCAAATGCAAGGCAGGCAAAATTTCAGAAATTCTCATGTGGGGGAGTCGAAAGAGAGCAGCATAGATCACACGTGCACTGTAAATGTGTATGCACCAGGATGGGTCCTAAAGGCAAATAGACACTGTTTATTTACAGAGGAGCCTGCGTGGGCTTTTCGGTAACAGTGATGGTGGTAATTAAGAGTCGACATATCTGTCTAGTCCTGATTCCTGCGATTTTAGCTTCTAGGCTCCCAGTCTCTCTTGCTTGGCTGTGGGGCCTCATGGGGGAAGGGCCGGCAGTAAGCCCAGCTCTCTGGACCCTTGGGGCTCTCTCCTACCACCAATCATTCTAGTGCTCTGGGCAGCCAATTCACCACTTGCTCCCCTGAGAATCCTGCTTGGGCCCCACTTCTCCCTTCCCAACTTCAAATGCCATCTTTGTCCGGTCCCCACCAGTGCACCTGCCAGGCCAACTAAGCTTCCTCCTGTCCCGAGTCCACAGCCTTGCCCCTGGGGAAGCCCTGCACCTAGTTCACTGTCAACTCCAGGGTGCACACAGCACCTAGGCACTCTGACCTGGGCAGCGAGCAGACCCCCAGGACCTGGTCCTGCTCTTCCCTCTCCAGGGTAGAGGAACACAGCTCTGCAAGATGGAGAGGCCACATCTGCCTCCATCTTTAACCTCCAGGCTTCAGAGAGAAAGGGAGGAGGGGCAAGATAAATGGGGAGAGTGATGGCCATCACACTATAGGTCATGCCATCAGTGCCCCAAAACTCGAGTCTGCAATGAAGAGAGGGGCAAATGCACCTCCTGGGAAGGGGACCTGCGCTTTTTCCAGTTGTCTCCACAGGAACTGCCCCTGCCCTGCTGGAAGAGTCTGGGAGGCAGGTGTGATGTGGGCTGGGAAAGCAGGTGACCTTGCACCTTCCTCTGTTGAACTCACTTTTAAATAAAATAAATTCCTTTTTTGGTCTGAGCTTTCTTCAACCACTATCTGTTAAGAATCCACCAGGGGGCACGAGGGACAGGCAAGACGCAAGAATTCAGCTAATTATTTCTTAGCATGTCAGGTGCCCCAGCACCAGTGAGTGGCAGACCACCCAGCCTGGGGCTCCAGATTCCAGAACACTCAAGAAAAGACTGAAGTGTGAGTGCAGCTTCTGCCTAATAGCTGAGTGGCCTTGGACAAGTATCTTAACCACTCATTGTCTTCCAGTAAAGACAACCCACCCCATGGGGTTACTGTTAGCACTCGGTAAATACCTATTATGATAAAGGTTGGTGGTGTTGGTTTTCTTTCAGCAGTAAGCAGAAGGCTATGGGAGCACAAATGAGGAAATAATTGCTGGACTAGAGGGCTATCTGGGAAGGCTTCCCTGAGGGGGTGGTATTTGGTATAGTTTGGGGGATGGTTGTGAGGTGAGTGTGAGATATTTCAGACATAGGGAACAGCAAGAGCAAAGGTGAGAAGGGAGGTGGGGGGAGGGTCAGACACGTTGTTTGAGGAGCTAGTCTAGGTTACTGGCTGTGAAGTGGTGGAAGATAGGCTGGGAGTGGAGTGGGGCCTGATGGGAAGGGGCTTGTCTATCAGGCTGAGGGGCTTGCTGTTGTTTTGTAGGACATGGGAGCCATGGGAGGTATTTGAGTGGGGGAGAGGCAGGACCAGAGGGGGGTTAGCAAGCTCCTGATCTGATAGCTGTGCTTAAAAAAAAAAAAAAAAAAAAAAAGCAGCAGTATTTCCCTGTTTCACATCTTGGGCTTTTGTAAGTTCCATTTGAAGAAAAAGCTGTGTTGCCAAGGAAAGCTGAACCCCCTAGATGGGGGGGATCCAGGATCCCCCTCTGGCACGGGAAGGTGGCTGTCGCCTTCCAGGCAAGGAGTCTGACTCCTCCCCTGCCCAGGCCTCCAGCTGCCCACTGACAGCCCTTGAAGCCGGGGTGAAACAAAGGCTTGTCACTGCAAATTGCATTGATGTGGTGACCAAAGGTGACAGTGTTCTCAGCCAGCAAGCATTGTTGCCATCAAGGGGTGCAAGCCTGTGTTCTTGCCTGCCAGCCAGAGTGAGCCCATTCCCAGAGCATGGATCGCTATGTTTGGGGCTGGAAGGCACCTCTGCCATCATGGAGTCTGGCCCCAGCAACGCACAAACACTCTGGGCAGCCCCGTCAGTGACAAGGAGCTGCTTCTGCAGGAGGCAGGCCCTCCACCACCAGGCATTGTTAGGGAGGGTTGCTGTGCCTCATCCTGAGCCTAATCTGTCTCCCTACATCTCGCCCTGCCCACCCCCTGTCCCCCCTCACTCCCAAGCCTGCCCTCCGGAGCTGCTAGGAACAAGCTGGCTCCCTCTGCCACATGACAGGCCTCCAAATCCTTGCAGACAGCTCTCATGTCCCCTTGCAGTCTTCTCCAGGCGAAGCCGCCCTGGCCCTTCTAACCCTTCCTCCAATGACATACATGGTTTCAAGTCTCCTTAGCATCAGCATATTAACATTTGGGGAAAGAAAATATTGTAGCCCTCGTCAGCCTCTGACAGGGCTGGGTTCCACAACCTATCCTTGGGCAGAGGAGACATCCTGGGTCCTTGGGGGTGAGACACAGACAAGGGCAGATGAATGATGCCAGGAGCCCTGGGCAGCAGGGTGAGCTAGGAGCGGGGAGAGCCAGCCCTCCTGGATCCAATCCCAGGGCTGTCCTGGGAGTGAGGCGCAAGCTTGGGCATGCTGCTGCCCCTCTGCCCAAGCTTGTGGTGGGCATGTCAGCTGACCAGAGCTTGGGTTTAACGATGATCCAGTAGGGTCCTGTGCTCCTGACCAAGCCACCAGCTAAGGGGCTCTCAGGGTAAAGCCTGTGTGTTCAAGGAGGCAGCCCACCTCTGAGGCTGGACAACAGCTCCATGAGGGCAGTACTAACCTTCTGTTCACCACTGTCTTCCCAGGACCAAGGAAGGAGCTGGGCATACAGCAGGTACTTGACAAAAGCTTGCTGAAAGAATAAGTGAGCAGGACCCCAGGCTTCTAGGGATCATGATAATAATAGAGGCTACCATTTATTAAGCACCTACTGTGTACAAGACTCCAGAGTCCATGAAGGCAAGAGCTGTATCTGCTTTGCTCGTTCCGGATATTCTGTGATAGGCTGACATATGGGAGGTGCTCAGTAAATATTGTTAAATGTTCGGTACTTGCATGTTATCCTACTTGTCACCAAGACAAGATGGGAGGGAAGAGATGGGAGAGGCTGCTGTGAGAGTTTGAGCCTTTCTTTTACACACACACACCAAGGCCCCTTTCAATCTTCCCCCACACCATCTTTGCCTGACAATTTCTGACTTTTCTAGACCCAGATGAAAAGCACATCCTCCAGGAAGCTTTCCATAAGATCCCCAGTGGGAATTAATTTCTTCTGCCTCTGAGCTTCCATCACACGGTGCCTGCACCCTTCTTTTAGGGGGCAATGATTAAGTGCCAGGGCTCTGGAGCCAGACTCTCTGGGTCAAATTCTGGCTCTTATTCTTCCAAGGCATGTGACCTAATCTTAGCTTGCCTTTGTGTTCCCTTCTGTAAATGGGGGCTAATAATAGTACAGGTCTCATAGGACAATTGTGAGGTTTAAAGGAATTAGCACATATAATGCCTTAGCACAGTGTCTGACACAAAATAAGTAGGCAACAAATGCTAGCTATTATCATAGTATTACCACATCTGCCCTGTATTAGAGACATCTGGGGCGCAGAGCCGGCGCTCAATGAGTGTTGAATAAAATACCAAACTAGATACACATCTAGCTCTTCCCCACAAGACAGCAGAGGCCAGGGGTCCTGTCTTACCCTCAGGCCCTGCCCTGAGGGCTGACCAAGACTGAAAGCACCAGTGAATGCCAGTGGTGAGGATCTACAGGGCTGAGGCAAGGGGGTGGGGGTGGGGCAACAGTTGGAAGCCAGGCTGGGCTTCAGGTGTGAACTGCAGACCTGAGCCTGATCCTTGCCAGGGCTCTGCCCCCATTCCCGACTCCTTCTCATCTCCTCAGCAAGCCATAATTTATGGATGAACAGAATCAAATAGGAC